CAGACTGCCTCGAATCCACCTAAGAAGCCACGGACGATGACCAGACCGACGAAGTTGTGGCATGCCGCGTGGAGGCTGAGCGTCACCCCCCACATGATGATGTTGAACGAGAGCCATTTCGCAATCGGGATCTTTTGGATGATGTAGTTTTCCTGGCAAGTGGCACGTAAGGTCAGGGCATTGTTTGTCTTCAAAGGGTGAGGGGAAAAGCCATACGGGATACTCAACGCAAAGAATGACGAGGTAAATGATGGTCGTCAACCACGAGTACTGGCTCAATCAGCATGATATGTGACACTGTGAAGCGACAATTGTACCTGTTGGCCCACAAGACCTGTGTCAGGAATGATGCCCATGATGGACGCGAACGACATTGTCCCCTTGTCCAGCGACTGCATAAAATAGGTGAATACCATGACACTCAACACCCGCTTGTCAATCATCCTCTTCAGCCTCTTGTTTGTCTCAGCATCGATTTCGACAATCGCCTCGCCGGCGTACTTGGCAACCTCATTGTCGACCTTGTCGTAGTTTGTCCGCTGCTTGCCCTCGGCCACATCCTCGACCACATGGGGCGCCTCAACGATGTCGGCTTTGCTCATTGTGAATGACGGCTCTTCGACACAGAGGCTCCTATTCTGAAATCTGACGTTGGAGGCTCTGCGTCGCACAAAAATAGGCTCGAGAGGCTTGCTTGGCGCGTCCGACAGCCAAGAGACTATCAAGGAAGGAAAAAGGATGAAGGGGGCGCCCTTTTATCTGGGGGTGGTCAGACCATCTTGAGCTTCCCAAGCATGGATCAATACCAGCCCGGCAAACCCATAGTCTTGGTACGGCCGGGGGTGTCCATCCACATCCCGTACGTACTTTACGTATGTTGGGACAGAGACCACGCGACCTTGGGCATATGCGCACGACTCATCCAGCCATAGCTCCGAAAACCTCGTGGGCCGCTATGCCGCTTGAGGGGCGGTTAACCGCGATAATCGTTACATTTTTCTTATTTCTGTCTGGCTCCTTGTCGTGTTTTGGTCACCCCCTCGGCTATTCGATACCGTGCTTTGCCGATGATCATTCCATAAAAACCTGGAGAAAGGGCTCCATTGAGGATTTGCGGAGGCGGGGGTAAGGACCGGGGTGGCGTGCGGGGGAACGAGTCCGGACCGGACACCGGGCCAAGGGTCAGGATGGTGGGGCTAACTAGATGTGGTCTATTGTGCGGAGAAGCTGTTGTTGTATTTCGGGAGGGATAACAATAGTCTGAACGAATTCTTCTCTTGCTTGAATGTTGACTTTGCATGACTTGCCTACCCGTACAGGTCAGGAGTATGGCTTTGAAGACGCAAACACACGGCGGATACTACGGCATATCGTCTCAATGGACTGGTAAATACGGAGCAGAGGCTCTGCAGTAATACATTTAGCCCGGTCCGGAGATGCCAAGGCGGTAGCGGGGTGAGACCATATGTTCCGCAGCGGAACTCTACATGATCACTTGGCAGCCTTTCATTGAGGGAGCCGACCTCGGCCGGCAATCACCCGGTGCGTGGATACTTGGGGAGGAGAAGTTGAAGATGGCTCGAACTCAACACTATCCCACGCAAAACCTCACTATTCCTCGCAAAAACAGACTTTCATGACACACCGCAATGTTTGAAAAAGCCATTGTGACGTTTTCGTCACCCAAAGCCGCCGCGGCCTTTGACTTGGCCGGCTCCACCATCCTGGTAGATGAGTCGGATCCGATCGGCATCCGCATCGCAGCGCAGAACCTCGCGCAGGACTTTGGTCGAGTAACACAGTCTGAACAGAGCATCGTCCAGATCGTCCAGGGCACCCAGGTTGATGTCGCCTTGGGATCTGCCGCTGCCATCATCATCGGATCAATCGGAACCAGCTCTGTACTCCAGCGGCTGGAACAGGATGGAAAGCTCAGTTTTGACGAGATCCGAGGGAAATGGGAGTCCTTTACCACCCATGTAATCGATCAACCCTTGCCGGGCGTACAGAGAGCCCTCGTCATTGCCGGGAGCGACAAGCGAGGGGCGATCTTCGGCGCCTACACCCTCTCTGAACAAATCGGAGTCTCTCCGTATGATTTCACTTCAAGTCGTGTTCCGCTCTTCTGTTAACATCAAGTGCACGTAGGTGGTATTACTGGGCCGATGTCCCTCCCAAGCATCATGCAGCTATCTACGCACTACCAGAGCCGACATACCATGGTGAACCAAGCATTCGCTTCCGCGGCATCTTCATCAACGACGAAGCTCCCGCCCTGACTGGCTGGGTCAGAGCCAATTTCGGGAGCTACAACTCTGAATTCTACGAGAAGGTCTTTGAACTACTTCTGAGACTCAAGGTACACGCCCAATCTGACATGAAAGAGAACAATTCCAAAACTGACTCTTCCTCCAGGCCAACTTCCTCTGGCCGGCAATGTGGCCAGGCTACCCCAACCCGGGCGCCTCATTTTTTACAGATGACCCCCTTAACCCCAAGCTCGCCGAAGACTACGGAATCGCCGTCTCAACGTCCCATCACGAGCCTATGCAGAGAATGTCCAATGAGTGGTTCGCAGACAACCCGGACGGCAGCTGGAACTGGCTCACCAACAAGGAGAAGATCGCCGCCTTCTTTGTTGAGGGAGTCAAGAGGGCAGTGGGCCGCGAGTCGTACTTCACCCTTGGCATGCGCGGCGAGTATGACAGAAAGATGAAGACGGATGACCCGGCTGCTGTGGTAAGGGATGTGATCAAGACGCAGCGTGCTCTTATTAAGCAAGTTCATGGGAGAGAAGATGCTGTACCACGTGAGTGATGATCCCTGAATCAAGCGAGGCGTGGGCGACTGACTTGGATTTGTGAACTAGAGCTTTTGGCCTTGTACAAAGAAGTGCAGGAGCAGTATGAGGAGGGAAATCTTGACGTACCCGATGATGTCACCCTTCTATTCGCCGACGACAACTTTGGCAGTATCAGGCGTCTTCCATCCGGAGTGGAGATGGATAGAAAAGGGGGCGCAGGTGTACGCAACTCTGCCCATGCTCATGCCTCCGTACCTTACAAGACGATACTGACAGAGGCAGATATACTACCATTTCGAGTATGTGGGAGTTCCACGAAGCTACAAGTGGATCAACAGCAACTCTCTGGTTCGTCACGGCCCATGATTGCAAAGATCCAATTAGTTAACACAAGGAAACAGGGGAAAACCTGGCATCAGCTACAAGAAGCCCACAGACGCAATGCAAAGCAAATCTGGGTGTTCAACGTTGGTGACATTAAGCCGATGGAAGTACCGCTCACATTCGCAATGACGTTGGCCTGGGACATCAACTCTATCGGCGCCAGCGACTTTGCAAACTTCTACCAGAAAATGGCAGAGACAAACTTTGGAAAAGATCAGTCGGAAGAAATCGCGTCAGTATGGCATAAATACGATAGACTCTCCGCACTAAGAAGACACGAACACATTGAACCGACAACCTTTTCCTTGATCCACTACAACGAGGCGGAAGACGTCGTACACCGCTGGGATTCACTCCTTCAGTCAGCCGAGGCGATCTACAATCAGACCCCAGAGGATCAGAAGGCAGCTATCTTCGAAACAGTTCTGCACCCAGTCAAAGCATCAACAATCTTCACCAAACTCCAAGTGACCCTAGGCCGGAACAGACTCTACGCCCGCCAGCGCCGCAACGTCGCCAACAAACTCGCCCGCGACGTTCTCGACCTCTTTGATGCAGATTACGCCCTCTCAGAAGAGTTCCACGCTCTGTTGGACGGTAAGTGGGACCAAATCATGAGCCAGACGCACTACGGCTACGAGGAGACGTGGCACGCGCCGTACCGCGATATGATCGGAGGCCTGTGCTACGTCCAGCGCCGGCAGCGCTCGAATCCAATAATGGGACAGATGGGGATCACTGTTGAAGGCCACGAAGGCGTGCGGCCGGGCAGGACAAATGAGGAATCTGATCGGACGCATCCTAGTCGGCGGGACTTGGTTCCTGGAGTGACGTTGGGACTTATGAGCCGTTATGGGCCGGTGAAGAGGTGGTTTGATATTTACAGCCGAGGACCTCAGGTAACGCATTGGAAGTCTGCTGTTCCGTATGACTGGATCAAGCTCTCGACTTCGTCCGGCACGCTTGATCCTGATGGAGAGGATGCGAGGATTGAGGTCACGATTGATTGGGATCAGGTACCAGATGACTTTGACGAAGAGGTGTTGATCGATGTTCGATCCGAAGAAGGCGACTTTGAGCAGATACACCTGCCCATCACTGGCAGACGCATCCTCGGATCATTCAAGGAAGGGTTTGTCGAGGGTGACGGGTACATCTCCATCCCAGCGGCGCATCAATCACTCCAAGGTCTCAGAGCACTGCCGGAGTGCGGCAGAACCCCAGAGGGAGCGATCGTCCTTGCCCCAGGCGCGGAGAGCGCTGAGGCCACGTCCAAGTTTTACGTCTTCTCGCAGACAGCGAGCCCGTCCCTGTTGTTATACTTCAACATGACGCTCGACCTAGATCCGGTAGACCCGATGTCTTACGACTTGCAGGTTGATGGCGGACCCGTACAGACTCATCGACTGTCGTCGAAGACCAATGATCTCCCTGACGGTTGGTTTCATGCCGTGCAGAACTGTGCTTGGTTACGGAAGCATGATCTAGGCGATAATGAGCTTGGAGTTGGGGAGCACAGCGTAACAATTCGTTTCAAGCACTCGAACTTGATTTTCGAAAAGCTCGTTGTTGATCTTGGCGGAGTGCGAGAGAGTTACCTTGGACCGCCCCTGAGCGTCTTCATTTCCTAAAACATGGAGGTGGAAGTTTGCTAGAGACTGCTGGCGAAGATTTAATGTCTTGTACATCATCACAATGACCGTCAACTCAAAGTTTCTGATAGATTTATTAATCATGCCTCATTATGCAATCGTCGCTTGGCCGTACGCAACGATACGTTCAATGAAGAGGCTAGACCTTTCTTAAGAAGGACTTAAGCCGAGCCAGCCCCCATCTTGCGAAGTCTTTGCAACTCATTCGCCTTCTTGACGCCAAACCCGGTAGAGAAGATCTGCCTGACCTCCTCGAGCGGCAAGCCGTTGGCCTCGGGATAACAGAAGACGACAAATACCCATCCAAAGAAGCAGATTGCCGCGTAGAAACCAAACGCACCGCTAGGCGTCATACCCTTCATCATGGACAGGAAAGTAGATGCGATGATGATATTGCAGCCCCAGCAAGTGACTGTGTTCATCATGGTGCCGAGGGCACGGACCTCGAGGGGCAGGAGCTCAGTGCCGACCCAGGCGATGGTGGCGACACCGCCGGCGAAGCAGGCGACGTAGACGATGATAGTCACGAGGACGAGAATGCCGGCCCAGTTTACTGAGGCGGTCTGAAGCTTGAGATCGGGTGAGACTGGGATCCAGTGGAAGGCGATGGCGGCAACAACCATGCTGATGGACTGGAGGAGGAGTAGTTAGCTTTTAGGCGATCACAGAGTTGCTGAGGAGCCCAGCGTTCTGATACATGAGAGACTTACCATTCCGGCGACCGTGACGAGGAGAATGCGACGTCGGCCGAGTTTATCTATGATGAACAGGTTGACCAGCGAGAAGACAAAGTTGGTGGCACCGACAACGATGGACACAGCGACTGGCTTGTCGAAACCAACGAGCCCGAACAGGGTTCCAGAATAATACATCAAAGTATTGAAGCCGCCAAGCTGTGAAACTAAGCGATGTCAGTCCCTATTCATAAAGTTGCCCTTTTCCCGATGTTCGTAAGGAGAACGCAGACCCGAGAAAACTTACTGGCCATGATAGCGCACGCGGTAACAAGGGCGCGGAAGTTGGCAGGCACAACATGCAACTCCTTGAAGCGGTCCCACAGCGAGCCAGACGTAGCCTGTGCCTCCACCTCAACCACCCACGTCATGTGTCCGATCTTGGCGTTGACCTGTTCTTCCGTCGCATGAGGATAGACACGCTTGATGACGCGCGTGGCCTCCTCGAGCTTTCCGTGAGAGATGAGCTGTCGAGGCGACTCAGGGCACATGGGCAGAAGGAACGCGAGGATAATGGGCGGGACGCCGCCGACGGCGACCATGTAGCGCCATCCGTGAGGAAGTTCGGTAAAGCCTGCACCGAGAGCGTAGGAGATGAGTTGCCCGAGAGTTACGCTCATGTTATCGAATGCGATCATGCGGCCGCGGTGTTTGGCGGGTGCGAGCTCGCCAATGTAGAGAGGCTATTGTTCAGTTAGTCAGATATCGAAGCCCATCGACGACTGCAACCTGGAACGAGCTGCTAACAAGAAAAGGGAGCTTCATGGTAACTTACGATAATCATAGCCGCAGAACCGACTCCCAAACCGACAATGAAGCGTCCGACGGTCATTTGCGCCACAGAGAACGCAGCAGCTTGAATGATTGTGCCGACGAGGAAGAGAATGCAGCCGATATAGATGCCGAGTTTTCGCCCGTACTTATCGGCCGGAAGACCAGCGATCACGGCACCGATCAATGCGCCGCCAGAGGTAATGGACGTGATCAACTCCTGTTCGTGCGAATCCAATTCGTGTCCGAGATCGCTCTTGAGACTGACGAGAACGGCCGAGATCACACCGGTGTCGTAACCTAATCATCACGCAATTCAATTAGTAAAGCTATTCGCTTCCCGTAGGTTTGATCGATCCTCGCAGCTCGGGCTGGGGAGCGGCTCACCAAACAAGAAACCGCCCATGGCGACGGTGAAGGTGATCAGCCACACCGCCTTAGACGGCTCGGTATCCTCAATAGAATCGTCAAAGTCAACGTGCTGCGTCTGCTCGACGTGAGATGTAGTTCCATCAAGCTTCATCTTATCGAGAGAAGCTTCCCTCGATAGAGCCTTGCTCTGGGAGTCGGGCGTGGTTTGCGACATTGTCGAGCAACTGCAAGTTCGAGCCGACCTCGATAGAGAAGATAAGCAACAGCACTTCAATGGAAGCAAAAGCTTAAATATTGATCGATGGTGGGAGTTGGATCGGATGAGGGCTGAGGCTGGTTGGGGAAACTCAAAGAGGAGGCTGGGCTGCAGAAATTCAGACGAGAAAAAGAGAACAGACTTAGTAGTTATATAGAAAACGAGTCAACGACTCTATCTTGCCGAGGGAAGGCTACTAGGAATTGTAAGGGGATTGCAAGCAAGTAGACACGCGCCAAGGTGGAGTCGCGGGCTTAAATTGCCCAAAAGAGTCGTGGTATGAGGAGAAGCTTCGAAGGCACGCGCTTTTTTTTCTTCGTTTGAACCCCCGAGTTCAGCCCAGTCATTGAATCAGACGGAAACCGGCACAGCGTCTCTTAGTCTATCTTTCCCCGTGAAACTTTCAGCTAGCCTAGCCTTACTACCTTGGGACGTATACCGAGTCCATGGTAGAAACACAACAGACACAATCAGTGCCCCCTTATTTCCCATCGCGCGGGATTCTCTCCTCAAACACCTGATCAGTGTTGAGCGTGTGTATCCGCAACGTATGTCGAGATAATTGCGGGGGTGGGTTGTCTGGGGTACCTCCGGGTGCGGGATACGCGGGGAATCCCTCAGCAGACCATCCCCAATGCAGTAAAAAAGCCCCGCGGGTATCACTTTAACTTGTTTATACAGGGGTGATTCAGTACTAGTTTCTCTTGGTCCTGATTTCCGGCCGACCTTGGTCTTCTGTCAGCGTTGTTTCCGTGAGTTATCTCATGTTTGGTGTTGCAGTCGGTTCAAGGGGGAGCCATAATCATGGTACCGTCTAGTGGTTTTGTTAAGTTCTAGGGAACATCTCACTTCCGCCCACGAGTCTCGTTACAGTGAATAGTATGACCGCCGTACTTCCAGAACATTCCTCAGAAGATTCACAGAGTCACGAGGCCCTCCGATCGACGAAGACCATACAGTTTACTGCCGGTGTACCCCAGGTCCGCAGGCGGGTCTAAGCCGGTTCTTCAAAGAATGATGTCATTGTAAATATTGCAGATAAAACAATACCCCAGACGAAGAACATGCTGTCGGTTGAAAGTTGGAATGTTCTGATGGGGCCCAGTGGGGAGCTCCAGGCTCGGATGGCGTATTCCTCTTCTCCCCCGGGTTTTTGACGCAAGTTACTCCACGGGGTGAACTCCGCTACCAATACTCATTATCAATCTTGACACTCCGATTGGATTGTGCGCAGCCGAATAGTGCCGGGACGTCCAGTAGTGTATCCGTACGGATACTGCGTAGAAAGTAGAGACGCTTAGCCCGCGGGTTCGAGCCGTCGGTAGATGAGCAGAGGGGATGGTGGAGTGAAGGTTGCTCGCAGCCCAGCCTTGAAGTTCCTAGCCAATTGCAGCTGGCTCCACTGACTCAGGCACTCGCATGTGTGGGATTGACCCCCTCAAAGAGGGAACATATCCCGCGGGATTTGTACATGGTGTGGACACCAATAGCCAAAGCTTGTTCCACATTCCTCCACGCGGCCGGCATGATGACCAACGGAGCGGTAGGGATTGATCACTGATGAAGAGTCGCGAATATGTATTTCCCAAGTTGCTGGCTATGATTCAGCTCGGATTCAGCGCACGACTTGAACGTCGCGGGACTAGAGCCTCAAGCGCCCAGTCCGATCTCCGCCTGTCATGTTTCGAAACCGGCATGTCAAAGTGGACTTTGGGACCAAATTGGTGCCCGCGGATTATGAAAACGTGGGGAAGTACCACATTTTGCATCTCCAGTATTGATGAGATGCGTATTGACGTGGGCAGCTACCTGCAACAGCGTTCTTGATCCGTTCATCTTCATCGCTAGGTGACTTGCGAGTGAAAATGCTGAGAAGTCGCCGGGCAGCATTCACCTTTCCTGTGAGAGCAGCAGATATCCGAGGCCATCTCTCGCATCGCGCGCATCCCGCTTGATGCCAAATCTACAGCGTCTTCTCGGACTTCCGCAACCCCTACTTGAATGATTCTTGCTCCTGAAGAAGTTGAGAAAAAGTTCATGTAGATGGCTAGACATGCAGGTCCCGCGGCGGGTCTGCGTTACTTAACACCGGGTTGAGGTGTGTGTGACACTGCATACCTAGTCCCTTCGAGTGAACCTACGCGCAAGCATGGCTCATATCACCATGGTAGTTCTAGGTGAGATGTGTTTAAATCGGGATCCAATGGAATTGGAAATCGTATTTCTGTTTCCTTGAAAGTCCAATTGGGAAATAAAATCGCGAAATACACACAGTGACGAAGACCACGTGCAGCATGGCCTCACATACTCAAGAACTCAATTCGGGAAAAAAAAAAGAAAAAAAAAGGGCGATGGTATGAAGCAATGGCTTATAACATTTCATTGAGGTGCGCTGTATTGAAAAATGACAGAGAGTCCAAGGTTCAACACTTGACACAGCGGCCTATGCTTGATGGGTTCCGCATGGGTGTGGATAGTTCATTGAGAAATGTGCTCAAGATCGTCGCTTCGCAATATTATGTGAGCACAAGTAGAGTATCAAGAGAAATTCTTCATCCCCCCGAAAATCTATCATTGTCTTTCAAAGTCGTAAACAACGCTAAATCATAGCAATTCCCAATCTAATCAAGGCCACAGCAAGCCACATCTATCCCCAAACGTCTTCTTGCCACTTGCGATTCCTCTTGAGTCCCTCGCTCCAGTCCTTGACTTGAGCATCACTCCAGCCCTTATCCGCCCTCACAATATCACCCAAAGTTTTTCCGACCTCCCTAGCCATGCTCGCCCGTCCGCACATGTACAAACTGGCACTCTCCTCCAAAAGCCCCAAAACCTCGGCGCCCAACTCACGTACCCTGTCCTGGACGTATGTCTTCTTCGCGCCCTCTTGCCGTGAGAAGGCCGTCACGATTTTGAGCTTGCCACCGAGGTCCTTCTCCATCTGCTCGAGCTCCTCCTTATAGATGTAGTCGTCGTCGGGGCGCTGACATCCGAAGAAGAGGATCATCTGCCCGATGTCCTTACCGACAGACTGCAGGCGGAGACGTTCCATGATAAAGGCCCGGAACGGTGCCAGACCCGTGCCAGCAGCGACCATGACGAGTGGGTGCGAGGAGAGCATGGGAAGCTTGAACTTGGAGCGGCGGATGTGAGCGTAGACAAGGCCGCCCTCAAGTGCGTTCGAGGGGCCTGACAGGGCATAGCTGAGACCCTCGGTCTGCTGCGTTACCTGCGAGTCTTGCAGCGAGTTGGAGAGCGACTGAAGGTAGTTCGTCGTCAGACCAGGGATGGCTGTGGTTGGGGAAGCGGACAAGAGGGTATCAGATACGGCAACGGTGATGCTGGGTGCCTTGGGAGAAACAACGCTAGAAGAAGAAATGGAGTAGTAACGCGGCTGTGATCTAGGCAAGGTCTCGATGAGGTATGACAGGGGAATTCCCGACCATGCAGACGATGTCGCGTTGCCATCGGCCTTGGCTGCGTATTCCAGAAGCTTGCCGATGGTCAGATGATTCGATGCGAGGAAAGCGGCGTAGTTATCCTTGTCGCGTCCTAGGTTCAGTAGAATTTCCTTTGATGCGGGAGAGGGCGCAAACTGTGCGAGGCCTCGGACGGCATCTCTGGGAACTGCGGCGCAGATCTCGAGGTAGTATCTGAACAATGTCTCGACATTCGTCGGCGTGGGAATTCTGACCTTAACGGCGGCGTCAAGGGCGTTAATGCTGATAGGGATGCTTCTGCGCTCTGAAAGACCGAGGACGTTAAGGAGACGCTCAACTTCCTGGTCGGGGTTGATGGGCCAGACGGCAAGATGATCGCCGGTCTTGTATGTGATTTGGGAGCTGTTTCCTAGATCGAGGTCCAGATGAAGACAGCTGCGTCCAGGAGAGGAGAATAAGCTGCGCGCATTTTTGATCTTCAAGGCCTTGATGGCTGAGTTGGCTGTTGACTTTCCAGAGCCCTCAATCAGGTGTACTGGCTCGCCAATATGAAGATCCTGCGGCTCAAGGGACTCATCCTCGACGACAGCCAGCGACGGCTCGTGAACAACTTCGTGTTCCTGCAGCTTCAGTTCATCGCGGAAGACCTTGTACAAGTCATCCTTCCATGAAAGGAAGTCCTCCTCTGTAGCCCCGACCGCATCGTCTGCGCGGCCGACGGGCGCCAATCGCGAGGCGCCACAGTCTACCAGGGCCTTATCGACGACGTCGACGACCTTGTTGTAGTATCTGTAATTGCTGTTGCCCAGACCAAAGGCTGCGTAGCGCAGCGATGTAAGGGGCTTGTCTTGCAGCTTGGTCAACCAGTCCCAGAACAAGCTGGCGTTATCGCTGGGGTCTCCCTCGCCATAGGTGGAGATGATGAAGATGGCCAGCTTAGTCTGGGGAATTTGTGTGATGGTGTCGGCGTCGTAGTCTGAGAGGTCTGCTGACATGGTGTTGAGATGGAAGCGCTGGTGCAGCTCACGAGCGAGGCGGTTCGCGAAGCCCTCTGCGGTGCCGGATTGCGAGCCCCAGAAGACGACGACATCTTTGCCCTGGACACGAGACTGTCAGTAAAAGATAGAGCAAGAAGAGGAGTTCCGGCTTGACTTACGAGCTCTTCTAGCCTCTCAGCAATGTTCTTTGACTTCTTGTTCGCGGCATTGCCGTCAGCGCCTTGTTGAGGCTTCTCGTACCAGATGTAGTTGTACGGATCCGGCCTGTCCCAGGCGTATCCGCGCAGGACATATGCGGCAGACAGAAGACCGGCAGCAGCAAGAGCGGCTGTATCTGCGACTGTTCCTGGCGCGAGCTGGCTGAGGAGCTTCAGCGTGCTCTCTGGCAGAGCACCTGGAAGAGACATGATGAGATGAGAATCAGAAGCGCAATAAAAGTGATTGAACTGTCAGCGTCGAATATGATACAGTCTCAATGAGCTTGCCCAAGTTCTATCTCTGTGGCAAGAGAACGGCGAGTTTCGAGATGTTAAATGCGACCCGAGACTTCTTCTGAGTATCGTGGAAGTTTCCTAAACCGTACAACATGTGAACTACAGCTACCAACACACCTAGTGCCGTCAACCTGCATTGCGCCAAAGAATTTCCTAAACCAATTCTAAGAGGCAAGTCGCCGCCCCCACGAGGTGCGGGGAGCATTGCCAACTTGAGACGGACTCAGATTTTGGGATAGAGAAAGTTGGGGAACGAATCCACTTCCCCGCGGGGAGGGAACACGAAGAAGCAAGCTGGCACAGCTGGCAGGGTGAAATGTGTTGCAGTCTAAACTAATATAGGCGACTTATCCCGCGGGATCGAGATGTCCATCCAACAAACTGCGAGATTACCGAAGAGGACCCCGTATTTCCCCAAACTTCGCCCCAGCCTCTTGATGCCTCCGCCATCGTCGGCTGGAACACCGAGTGCCTCTTGGCATGCCCCATTTCGACTTTGAGGTCACTCCCGCGGTGAAAGTTGCCGCATCCAGACGAGAACCCCTCAGATCGCGGGTCCAGCCCAGCAGGAAGATTTCATCTCCCCCGCGTAAGGATTCTGTGGAAGGTATGTGACGGACCCCGAGATAACCCCAAGATCTGTCACTACAATGCAGAACTAACCAACGGTGCAGCAGTTACCCATCAGCCATGCGTATGTTGCACACTGCGTTTTCCCCGCGGGACTTGGCTTCTGCTTGTCTTGGTCTGAGCGAGTTAGTCCCGTCCCTGTCCCAGCCTTGGGCAGAATCCGCCCGCCGTCCCCGGCTTCGCGCCCCTCTTTCCTATCCGGGATCCTCTGGAAGTCTCATGAGCTATTCTTATTGACAGCTCAGACGAAATGGGGGGCAGGCTGAGGTTTGTAACGTGCAGAGGTGCGGAGAATATGTCGTAGCTAGTGGAGGGATGGGCTATCGGTTGCGAGCCGCGAGCGAATGCGATGTCGCGGCGAGATTTTCCTTTCTTGAAAGCCGGGCCAAACCAAGTGGGCATTGATTTACGGTCGATTTTATCCATTCTCGTGACTTCTGTGGCTGATTAGTGTTCCACTACGCGGATGGTTATTTAGTTGAAGACGACTTCCTTTTTTTCAGCAGCATAGAGTAGGCCGTGATCCAAAGCTCTTCATTCTTCGAACCCACTGTTTGCCTTTTCATCCCACAAGATCTCTTGAGATCTAGCTAGCAACATGACACTCGAAACATTCTCTTCCTCCTCGCAGGCGCCATACGCCGCGGGCTTTCTCTTCGTTGCCTTGTCTTATTTCATCGTTTACCCAATGTTCGTATACTTCAAGGACACAAAAGGTGAGCTTTCTTCAGCCCGGGGCTCATTATTCGCAGCCACTAACATCATTGCTCAGGCATGCGCAAGTTTGAAAACTTGAGTACATTTTCCGGCGTATACAACATTCCCTTCATGATCCTCGCCCGCACCGGTGCTCGATCAACTCATCTCGTCAACCTCCACCGGGAGAAGGGCCCGATCCTCCGCACTGGTCCCAATACCCTCTCTTTCAGTGATGTCCGCGCCATCAAGGACATCTACGGTCATGGAACCCCTTGCATCAAGGATGAGTCCTACGTCCTCACGGCCGGATCCCACTACCACCTCGCCGATGTGGTCGACAAACATGACCACGCAAAGAAGCGTAAGGTCTTGTCCTCCGCCTACGCCCTGAAGAACCTCGAGGGATGGGAACACAAGGTCGCAGACAAGGTCGAGAGACTCTTCAAGCAACTCGACCAGCGCTGCACCGACCCCCTCCCCAAGGGCCAAATGTTCCCCAAGCCAGAGGATTTGACCGTCGACTACCGCAAATGGGGCAACTTCTTCACCCTCGACGCCATCGCCGACATTGGTCTCTCCGAGCGTCTCGGCCTGCTTGACCGCGGCCACGACCGTGTTCTCGCCCGCCGTAAAGACGGCTCAACCTGGGAGGTCCCCCTCCGCGACTCGCTCTACCCCACTGCCCGGAAACAGTCCCTCCTCGTCTGGAGCTACGACAACTACAAGCTCATTGACAAGCTCTCCAACATCATCCCCCGTTACCGCCAAATGACCGAGGCATCCAAAGGCTGGGACGGCATCGTGCTCGAGCTCGCCCACAAGCGCCTTCAGCGTTACAACAAGGGCGACGAGAAGCTTGATGACTTCTTCCAGGCTCTGATGGAGAACAAGAACGGCGAGGCCAACAACCTTGAGTGGGGCGAAATCGTCGCCGAGATCAACATCATGATGAACGCTGGCAGCGTGACCACCGCCATCGCCGTCACAAACGTGCTTTACCAGCTCCTCAAGAACCCGAAATACCTACAGCTCCTCCGTGAAGAAGTTGACAGCGTCCTTGACGCGGATGAGATTGTCGCACCTTACGACAAGGTGAAGCACCTCCCCTACCTCCGCGCCTGCCTCGACGAGTCCCTCCGCCTGTTCCCTCCCACACCACAAGGCCTACCTCGCAAGACGCCCCCGGAAGGCATGTACATCATGGGCGAGTGGGTGCCAGGTAACACAACCGTCAGCATGTCCGGCGTCGTCGCCCACCGCGACGAGACCGTCTTCCCCGACGCTGATAAGTACGTGCCGGATAGGTGGCTCGGCGACAAAGGCAAGGAGCTGCAGCCGTACTTCTTGGCCTTCTCCGCCGGCGCGAGAGGATGCATCGGCCGCAACATTTCTTACTTGGAGCAGGCTGTGCTCTTGGCTTCAGTCGTGCACAGGTACGAGTTTGCTCTGCCGCGGGACTTCGAGATGGCGCGTGAAGAGACGATGAACTGGTTGCTCGGGGAGATGCCCGTCAAGGTTTGGAGGAGGCAGTTGGAGGAGGTTGAGGCACACTAGATTCCCAAAAGAGGACTTAGATTTTACGACTTATGGTAATGTATTTGGCGTTGGCGCGATAAATATCAATCAACTTGAGGAGTTGTAAATTGAGAGTATGGATCAAGAGTTTCTGTCTCGTTACGGGTGTAAAGTTGTTTGCAATTGAACGGAAGTGGTGCTAAGCAGGTATTATTGAGTGTGATAGATATTTCAACCCCATCGACTGGCATTGCGCCTTCTTGCAAATCCTATGATCGAAACCAGACTCTATGCAGAACCTGTCGGGCGGGGGCGGATAGCCGCCAAGACTTAGCTGTCGAAGAAGAAATCCAAACGCTTGTTTCCTTCGTCGCTAGTATTAGCCAGGTACGCCGTCTTCTCCTCTTCCGACATGCTGTTCCATTTCGTCCTCTTGGACTTGTTGCGAAGAGTGTAGTATGTCTTGGCAAAAGCATACGCAAATATCGTTGCCACAGTGATTGCGATCAAGTTCTTATTACCTCGGTGGTAATGAGGTTTATCATCCTCTCGATAGATATTCGACGAGGCGATTCCGGACAGCTGAATGGTGATGTTGTAGAGCGCAGCACTGATAGCTCTGGTCCTAACGGCGTTCGAAAGTCTAGAACACCATCCGACGTGCGCGGCGTGTGTAGACGGCTGGCCAAGAATCATGAAAGTAACGGCATACTGCGCCCACGGCGACAGGCTCTCGATGGAAGTGTATTCGACGATGAGCAGCGGCAATACCCAAACCTGCGAGAGCAGGCCGATGATGGCGATTTGATGGAACCTTTCAGTAAGGAACGTAACCCACAACATGTTTACCGCTGCGAAGACAGTGACAGGGATTGCGAGCAGAGTAACGTTGAAGGTACTGAAGCCGAGAGCCTTGAGAGACAGCGTGAGGTATGTCTTTGGCGGCGCAGTAGGAATCTCAAAGAGGATGCCAATGAGGTACACCGGCCACAGGTCGTAATCCTTCAGACTCTTCCAGAGCATGCCCAGAGATAGCGATTCTCGATTATGCATGTCGCTCTTAGAAGGGTCGTCACGGAGAACCCGATTGACGATGATCGTCTCCTCGCGCTCGTTGAAGTAGCCTTTGGGGTTCCACCACGTTTTCGTCTGCGTCGGGCCGGGGACTAGGAAGAGAAAGCTGGCAGCGCCGATGACGAAACTAACAAGAGCCTCGATTAGGAAGAGCCATCGCCATCCTTCCTTTCCTGCAACGCCGCGCAAGTGCAGGATTCCATAGGCCATGAAGGATGCTATGACACCGGACATGGAGTCGACGAACCAGAAGAGGGCCAGGCGAATGGGCATCTCAGTCTTCTTGTAAAAGTAAGACAGGTACAGAATGGAGTCCGGAATGAAGCCACCCATGAAGAGACCGATAAAGAACCGGCAGGCGAAGAAGCCAGCCCGGTTGTGCATGAAGAACTGACCCCCGGACGCCAGACTCCAGAGCATAATCTGGACGGGGATCCATCGATCAGGTCCAAGCCTTTTTCCAATCATTTGAGACGGAACTTCGGCAATCAGAAATCCGATGCGATACATGTTCTGGGCGTTATTGTAGTCGTTGGTGTTGATATGCAGGTCCTTGAGGAGATTATCTGCCGCAGCATTGCCGAGATTGCCTCTGTCGATATTGAGACCGAAAAACATGACCAAAATCCAGGCAAAGATCTTGAAGTCTGTCTTTCGGCGGACAGAACGTTCTTCGCGATGTGTCCATCGCTCCTTCGGATCAAAGCGATGGACGTTCTCGTACTCTGGTGGGGGCTGGTAGAAGGGCGCCAAGCTGGGATCGTCAAACACGCTTCGCTCTGTTGCGATAGCATCGAGATCTCGCGGCGCATTGCGACGGGTGAGTGCTTCCCAAAAGCCGACGTTTTTGGTCGTATCTTGGGGTTCGGCCAAGTCGCTGACCTCGTCTTTGGGCGAGTCAATCTCGAAAGAGGGTGTCTTCGCATCGATGTCGTGCACACCTGATGAGACCCTCTCCCCGTCTGAGGGGACTTCAATGACTGGAGGCTTCTGCGAAGTCATGGCTGCAGCTTAAAGAACGAGTCAACTGATCCGAAAACTTGTTAGCGAAGATTATCAGGGCCTACTCTTTCGAAAACCATCTCCATCGCTGGAATTTCGAAGGATTGATATACATGGTGTTGGATCGCTGTGACATTTTGCGAAAAACGGCACAATGAACACCGAGGTCGCACACCATCGACAACCAACTCGACGTGATTTCCTTCTTCAGATACATTTCCTTACTGGAAATAACCGCTCGTATCATTATATTCCCTTGTCAAGGTGCAGAACCCATGCCCTGCCAAGACTTTATTGTGAAGACAAGCTTTTGGTAGGTCTTTCGGCAATGATCATCCGCAGGCCATCACGACATAATGGGGAAAGATGGTGAACACACCAGCCTAGCAATCCTTCAGGCACCCTTGTCTGCCACAAACGATTAAGTGCTTGGCAAGGCTCAGGAGATTGTCTCTTTCCATCTTGGCGAACCGTGTGGTCGGGAGCATCTGACCAACCACAAATCTTTCAGTTTGTATGAGCATCGAGACTTTTGGTGGTTGCTTTCGTATGTGCCTAATCCTTCGCGCCGGATCCATCTCTCAGGTGATAACGGTATACTAGACTGTTTAGAGAATGATATTTCTTGTCTCTGGGATACCAGCTGTATGGTACAAGATCTGCGCCGATGTCACCTTCAACGTCCCCTTGCCAGGAATCGAGCCGAGGCAGTTTCACTTCAGTAAGCACTGCTCCAGGGTCTGGGTGAGAACTGCTGGCGGGGAGTTCCATGTTTCGCCTGGAATGTCTTCTGTCTTACAGAAGCCTGCATGAAATGGGACAACTTGCCAGGACTTAGGTTGCGGGGTATGTCTCTCGAGGCATCAGCTGCCAAGCCTCAATGAGCCGTGCCCTTTGTCAAGAAACTACTGGTAAAAAGAAACAATATCAGAAAATCGATTAGAAAGTTTACATCACGGCTTTTATTTGATGACAGTGAAATTCTATCAGGATCTAGGACCAGTGATACCAAAAGGCTGGTTTTGATATTTCTGTACATTGTTGCCCTTTGTCTCGGGGTGCTCAACATCAAGATCCCATTGATCAGGCACTTCGAGACCAGCATCAAGATGATGCTTGTTAAGGAGAACCGATATACCGTCTCGAAATAACCAAGGGTCGTTCGTCCTCCTCTGCCAGTCTTCCAATCTCGTTTGTAGCTCCTTCAGCACATCTTGATAGTCCAGGTCCTTTGCCAAGTTCTTGACTTCGTTGGGATCATTCACCAAATCATACAATTCTTCTGCAGGGCGGAAGAAGTAGTCCTTGAGTTGTCTCTCGCCGATCATTTTTGGATTCTGATCCGCATTTCGAATATCTTCCCATGTCAGCGAGCCGTAAATGTCGTTGGCGAAGGGAAAGTCAAGCCTCCAGGCAATATTGCGGTGATACTTGTAACGCCTGGTTCTGATGTAACGTGTTGGCCAATAGTTGGTGGACTCATGGAATGTGTGAGAGCCAAAGACATGATCCCAGTCGGCGAGATCGTGGTTCTCGTTGACGATGTCGAAGAATGAGCGACCGGCAAGCTGTGACTTGGCTTCGCCTGAGGCATCGCCTAAGATCCAGTCCAAGATTGTAGGCAGAACGTCTACATAAGATACAAGATTCGGGTTGACGGATGAAGCTGAACCTGGAAGTCGAGCAATGAGAGGGAGCCGAATACCAGCGTCATACAATGTAGTCTTGGAGTTCAAGAAAGGAGGGCCATTGTCGCTCATAAAAATGACCAAGGTGTCCTTCGCATAGCCAGATTCTTCTAGCTCGTGAAGAATCATGCCAACGCCTTGGTCAAGACGGCTGATGGCTTCTGCATAACTCGCAAGCTCCTGTCGCACACCGGGAGTATCAGACAGAAATCTAGGAACGATCATGTCCTCCGGTCTGTACGTAATACTCTTGATTCTTTCGTCGACAGGTTCATTATTGCCGAAACCTCCACGCGTGCGGTCGCGGTGAGGATCATGGTATCCAACTGTGAGTACAAATGGCCGACCATCCTCCTTGGAGGCACTGAAGAACTCTGCCGCACGCTGAGAGGACCACCATACATCTCGCGTCAAGCTCTCGGCCCGCCATTCCCAGGGATATACGGCATCAGGCCCGACATGGACCTTCCCGATAATTCCGGTACGAACCCCGTTCTTGGCGAGCAGAGCAGGACCGGACACGATGTGATCAAACGTCATGAAGTGATGCTTTCCACTGTTGAGTCCGTACTGGCCATTCTGGTGAGTGTGAAGGCCGGTGTAAATGGTTGAGCGACTTCCACTGCAGGATGCGGTGCTTGCAAAAGCATTGTCGAATCTGGTGCCTTCGGCGGCGAGTTTATCGATGTTTGGTGTTTTAATGTAAGTACAGCCGTAGCAGCCGAGCTGTTTGCCCAAGTCGTCTGCGACGAGCAAGAGAACATTTCTTGGCGACATTGTTGTGAGCAAAATGACCAAGAGTTGAAGCTGGGCTTGTTGAGGACGGGAGGATCAGATGCAGCCTGCGAAGTAGCTTGGAGTTGCACAAGACAAAGAAGTGTTGTCTCGCAAGAGACGCCCACGATGTCAGTTCGAACGCATACGAATGAGGTGAAATTCAGGATTATGACGTCTTCACATATAATGATACCCTTACCGTTCTTATCTAGTTGTACCCGAAGCAAAAGTACTCGAGATGCCGGTTTCCCGGCCGCCACACATCGTGTCTCTCCTCAGAGTGAGGCATCATGACAACCCACATTACAAACTTAAAGTACGGTCCCACTCGAATTCTTTCACGACAATATTCATTGTCGGATGTCGGCAAGTGACAGCTCAAATTCCACCAATACCGTGAGTTATATTCTACAATAGCTTCGGAAGCTTGGGGATAAGCCGGTCGAGAGTTGACTTGATCACGCAATCACAGGGGGCAATATTAGCTTGGCAGTTTTGGGAATTGCTTGCAGACTCCATGCCTTTTCCAAGCTAGTAGAACGCTTGTTCCACCAACACTTTTTGGTATCATTTCTAAAGCTCTGTTGCCTGGATAATTGGATCGTATCCTCACTTGATGAACGCATGTTCCTCCCTCACTTCTCAGCTTTGACCCCAGCCGTCAAGGCCACATATTGATGGCATTCACCTGAAGCTGACAAGCTCTAGTCAACTTCCTTGAAAACGGTCTAGTCTACAACTAGACGAAAGCCCGAAAGGCTGTCAGACGGGGCTTCGGGATGCCCTAGATCTTTCCGCGATACCATAAACTTCGACATCACGAGGAGGGGAATTTCCCTCATGAGTCAATACTCGGCTGCTTACTATTGCTCAGGCTCCAAGCAAGCTTCGTGATCCTGATCGGCAAGCTCATCCGATAGAGCCCATCTATCAGCGCATTGTGAATAGGGTCATCAAATGTCGTGATTTGAATTGAAGGATTGTCTTTCTCTTCGAGATAAACAGAGTTAAAGAGACGTTCTGTTTGTATTTAATGCTCGCGTTTCACCTTTTTAGTAGTTGAAAATAAAGAGCATTCTACATAGGATTACTCTATCATAGCGAGATCAGACAATGAAAGCCACTTACTTCTTAAGCTTCGTCTCAGCATGGCGGGCGGCAGCTCAGCTTACTGGTGCGGTCGGACCAACCACAAGTTTGAGCCAGAAAACAACAGAGTGTAATATCCTGAACTACGGAGCAGTTAACGATAACTCCACAGACGCCGCTGATGCCATAGAGAAAGCTTTCAAGACATGCGTCCTACCTCACGCGGGAAGCCGGCTCATTGTCCCTGATGGCCAGTACCTGATCAAGCGCACGGTGATTCTGTCGAATGGAACCAACTGGGCTTTTCAACTCGACGGTCTCATTACTCTAGCGTATGGCGGCAACTGGACTGTTGATCGTGAGTTGATCTTGCAAGGCTTCGCTGGAGTTGGGCCGCTGAACGCAACCATCAACGGCGAAGGCGATGGCCAATTTCTGCAGAACGGTATCACAATCATCAATCGTACGTTTCTTCTCCCCTCATGTCGTGAGAGTGACTAACACTGGTAGCCGTCGACTTCGAGTTTTACTCCAAGAATGGGAAGGGTGCCATTCAGGGTCAAGGCTACCTGTACAGAAACCTCGCCAAGTACGGAATTCAATAAACCACCCATTCACGATAATTGATATGAACAGCATTTGCTAACGACTCGCAGCACTTTCCGTCCCCGACTGATCCGCCTGATATCTCCCATCAACACTGCAGTCCATGATCTTATTCTGGTTGACAGTCCTAAGTTTCATATTGTCTTCGATTTTGCTGTCAACCTTGAGGTTTACCACCTGACAATCCGAGGCGCTAACCTTGGCTCATATGATGGTGTCGACGTAGTGGGCACGAATTACTGGATCCACGACATTGAGGTACATGTCCTGCACGATCCGTTTTCGAGTCAATCGCCGATGTTGACTCGCTGATAGGTCACCAACCGAGACGAGTGCGTTTCCGTCAAGAGTCCTTCTAACCATGCTTTGGTAGAGAATTTGGTCTGCAACCAAGCAGGATCTGGAATCTCTATCGGCAGTTTGAATGTCTCTGCTTCCATCGCCAACATCGTAAGGATCATATCAGTCGTTTCCGGTTATGCCTACTAAAATTGAGCAGCATGCACGCAATATCAGCATCATTCAAGGAAACAACATCGCATTCATCAAGACATACCCTGGAGGCTCAGGGTATGTCACAAACGTGACATTCGAAAACTTTCGCTCCAAGGCATCTCTCTATGGGTTGGACGTCAACCAATATTGGCAAAACACATTTGAGCCAGATACCGGTGCTGTTGCTCTGAGCAATCTCGTCTTCCGCAACTTCTCCGGTAAGCCTTTGTGTCGTAATCTAACGCGGGATTGATCATTGCTAAGAGTAGGAACCTAGGCTCCGTCGCCGATGGTGCTAAGCGGCCACCTTTGTATCTGATCGCTAATGACCTGACATATGCTACAAATGTTACTGTTGAGGAATTCAGTCTCTGGACAGAGTCTGGTACCAGCGTCGTCAATAAAATTAGCAACATCTTTGGCGCCGGAGATAACTCTTATGGGACGGGCAACGGTATCAAATCACTTGCAGCTAAGGCGTCACCTGTACCCTACACCAGTACCTATACTATCACGGCATCACCGACAGGTTGGACGGCCCCTTCGTCGCCAACTTGGGCCTTGCCAAATACCGGATATGGAAGTAAGTCGGAACTGAATGCCATCACGCGCTGCTTTCCGCTAACATCCAGTAGCCGACATCCCCATTCCGGTCTATACTCCGGCACCGCTTTGGAAGCCCGAAGGCGATTATGACAAGCATTATTGGGGGTCGTTCTGAGAAGTGTGGCTCCTCTTGCAACATATCATAACCGTAAAACCATGATTTTAGGTTCTAATCAGACTCTTCACGCCTTGAGTCACCGTCAAGATGTAGCTAATAGTAGCCCTTGGACATACTATTGATATTTTGTTGTGTATGCCTATGTCTAAATTTGAACAGATATCTAGAAGCATATGATCCCAATTATCGCACCTCCTCTTTAATCATTGTGAAAAGTTATCTTCCTTGCCTCGCCATGGTTAATCCCTACAGTAACTCGCAGGTGCTATAAATTCGAAAAGTCCACTTTGAGTACAACCTGAGTACTAATCAACTTCATGGTAGTATCGATACATGTAGTCTCGTCAGGAGCCTAGCAAGAGACAATTAAGTCTTTGCTAAGAAGGACCCCGCGATGATGATGAAAAGCATACCAAGGCTATCGTGTCAAAGTGATTAAGTAATGCCAGTGAAGGTCGAGACAGCATCGAAAGTTCTTCTACCTAGGCAGGAGGATTTGAGTCAAGCAGCATATCTGTGACAATTTCCTGGAACGTACTGTTGGCGTAATGTTTAGTTCAGATATGCTCCTACAAAATCAAGTTGGCCGTCACCTCGGACGAGCAAGGATCTGTCGCGTATCTTTTGGCGCGAATACGAGACAGTTCAGCCATGAGTCCAAATCTTTTTTGCAGCTGAACAGACATAAAAATCTAGTTGGACTCTTCCAAAGAGCCCAAACCTCTTATCAAAAGAGGATGGAACAAGGAGGTGGGACGATCGAACAAAGTTTCTGTATTTATTCGATAGCAGTGCGTGGGTATCTTGGATCTAATCAAGCATGCTGATGCGAATAGCACTCGAGAGAAGCAACGGATGACATCGATATGTCCTAAATCCCGGAGGAACCATATCTTGTTCATACAGGAGATCCAGTGTCTAACTTGAGATCATGCGAAAGAAAGGTTTGATCCATTGCATGCAGTCCCACACCACTTATGCCAGACTTCTGTAAAATGGCTCTTTCTGCTCGATCCACAAATGTGGACAGTACGAACACCACGCTCGAGGCCCTGAACAGCATTAGTCAGAAGTTTTGACCCCCATGTCACCCAGAAACAGAGACACGTACCACGTAACCATCCCATACGTCAATGAGGTACGCCATAACGCAGTGTCGAGTTTTGAAAAGTCGACATAGTTACCAAGGTCCGTTAACACACCATTATGCGCCAAGTATTGTCGAGCCGCCGGCATGGTGGCGTAGAAGCAGAGACCCATTGAGTAAGCAGCAAGGCTCATTATCGACAACCGCGGATCCGATGGTTTGTTAAAGTCTGAGTTGATGAAGACCTCGATACCCAGGGCAACGCACTGCCGAAGTCGACATTAGGGTCGTCCATTAATTGTGGAGTCTACCACTAGGGACACAGTTACTAACTGCTATGATCATAGCGGCTTCCTTCATGTCAAGGAATGTCTGATTCGACACGTCATGATACTTTATAACGTTGCGGTACTCCTGACTTCGTAGCCATGCCGCGTAACATATTGTATACGTGGTAAATGAGAGGTTTGCCATCTGAAAGAACCGGACGACGTGTATCGCACCGCGGAAGAGAGTTCGGAGTGACATATTACTCGGTTGCGTATGATGTGTTTTTGCAATTCGGCATCAGTCAAATGCACGAGAGCAATATCAGTGTCAATAGACTAGGTGTCAGCGGCAAGCTACCTCTATATAGATTGGCAAGATCCGGAGAATTAACTCGATGGGTACGAGCGGGCACTACCTGATGTTTGGTTACATCCGTAAATGTCAGCCGAAGTCGTCATGAGAGGGGCCCGACTTAATTGCGTTAATGAAGAAGACTGTGTACCGCGATCTAAGCCCGCACCAGCAAGGCGGAGCGGTGCTCCAAGAAACTGACTCGACCTTGGCACGCCCACGCTCCGAACGAATGGGATCACTGCCCTCTTCCGACCGGAAGCGTTACAGAGCAAACCAACTGTGGTATTCCCGACTTGCGCGCAATGTCTCGGTACTCTTGGCACTATGGGCTTCGTGGCACGGTTGAATCTACCGCTACTCGCGTACCACGTTCATCCCATTCAGACATGAAAGAGTCTTCCACCTAGTTGCGACTGCGGATGTTGGCCAAGACATACTCACCTATAGAGCTTTGATCGGTATATGAGGCCAAGATCACATCCTCTCCCCGAGCAGAATTTCTGCGCTATGTTCAGATGCTGGTTCTCCCGTTCTTTCAAGATCTGGCGCTAGGGTAACCTTCTGACTCGAGAGTTGACACTCCGAGATAGAATTCCATCACGATTCGAAGACGTCCAAATTTAGATAGGACTTCAACCAGCTGAAACCCTTTGGAAAACATTCACAAGACCATAGTTCTTCACGCTGCTCGCAGCTATGCCTCACATTTGGGTGCCATCGCGAAGCCTCAGAACCAGGAGAGCGCATACTGGCATGCCTACCTCATATGTCAGCTGTATATTTCGCAACTCTTTGACATGTCGAAGCTGTACCTTCTTTGTCATGATTATGGATCGGCGGCTAGTCCTCCGTTTTTGAGACATACTCCCATTTGAAACTCGATTTGCGGAGTCTCAGTCAAACTAGTTGCGCCCACAATCTGGGAAGCTATCGTCAGCACTTTGTGCTTAGTCTTATCTTTGGGCGCCATGAGAAGAGGCATGCATGTTGGTTGCGACGCCTGAAAAGGCTGGCTCGCTCGCCACCTATCAAATCGTAGTAAAAACTCACGAAAAGCATGTCCGCATCTTGTGTGTGGGCATTACTGCAAAGCGCATGCATAAAAGTGCGCAGTGATCTACAAAATGCCCCTCTAAAGCCGAGAAGGAGGGATGGAAGCGATGGAAATAAGCAACACTGCCTGGGTTTTCTGGTCGCTGAACGCCTTCCACCGACAGGCCGCAGCAGCAGTTGCCTTTTTCGCATAAAGTACTTGGCAGCAAGGCTGAAAATCGGATTCATCTAGGACACCTCCCCAGGCGAAAGTTCCCACTCCAAACACAATCATCTTCTTCACACCATAAAGCTTTGGTTATCAGACGTCCATTATGGCCGTCGACAGCTCGAACTGTCCCGAGGACGGCAACTCAACAGACTGCCTTCTTCGATCTTTGATGCATCTTCTCAACGAGCAAAGCAAGGCCGAAGACAACGAAACCAACTGGGATCCCATCACGTTCTTCTTCACCCTTCCAGTCGGAATCCTCGCAACTATTTTTGCCATTACTACAGTCTTTCAGGGGATTTTGGTCGCTGGAAAAGGACGGAGGAAGACAACAAACGTGCCATCGGGAAATGGCACCAAGCGACTGAGTGGCACTGGAATTGGCAAGATATGTCCTTCAAATCTAGGGCATGGGTGCCCATTCTACGTGAAGATACTTGGAATATGCGGCCTGATCTGAAGGAATATACCGACAATGAGGAGACAGGACAAAGACCCAGTCACTTAACACGGCTTACCACCGTTCCCGTTCGAATTACAAGACTCCTCAGCAAAGCTCTGAAGAATTGTTTCTCCTGGCTTCCTCATTCCTGGAATCAGAAGCTTTTGACCTGGAAGCAATGGATTCAAAACTCCCAGCCAAAGTACGAGGCCAATCCTGCTGCCACCTGGGTTAGGTGTTTTGAGAAGGTTGGCCTCGAATATCTTGATAACCCAAGATACAAAAGCCACCTGCAGTTAGTTACCGCGGACTATCTCCCAGATGATCTTATTGCTGCTCCTGCGTATGGACAGGTTGGAGCTATCATTGCAGCTGCAGCAGCGACAGGTGCTCAAGTCAAGATGACTGACGACAAGTCTCTTTACCCAGTAATTCTTGGGCGGCAATTCCAGTTCGACTTCCGGCAGCACCCTACCCTTGGTACTATCGGTGCATACGCATAGTTTACCTAGAGAGACCGCGATGGGAAACCATACGCGGATACAAGTTCCAGCTCAAGAAACATGAATTTAGAAGATTACCCGCCACCAGGAAAGCTGGCCATGGCCATGAAACACTGTCGCGGCGAGATTTGTCTTGCGGATGGTGTGATACTCTTGTTCAATGAGATGCCCCAAACTCCACTAAAACTATTCAAAGAAGCTCATCGCTTTCAGCTTATTGAAAGATTGGGAGACCGAAAACACAATGGGGATCATTCCCTTCCTAGTCTTAACGGTATCGACGACGTGGACGTTTACTGCCCGATCATCATCTTTTTTCTCGCTGCTACACCAATGTGCGCTCCTGCGCCCTCCCCGGCTTCAATCCTGGAAACTAAGTTGCCTCTCACACCGGTGGGACCCAATGGAAGATATTGGTCAGCACTATGTCTGGAAGCTTTTGACAATGCGACGCCCTCTGAAAGGCCGATTGGTTATGAAACCACAATGGTCTGGGTTCCGTAAATATTGGAGTACTGCCATGCCTCTGGGAATGCACGATGTCCTCAAACTCGAGGATCCAATAGCTTATGTTTCCTTATGGATCAGCTACATACTGAGGGAATCAGATCGAATATTGGCGCCAATATCACGACAACGAACGAGAAATGTCGATGTCATAAGCCAACAGCTTGAGAGTTCTCGAAGTCAAGACGAAGAGGTCGATGACGAGAAAGTTGCCGAGAAATCTATGGACGACACGATCCCAAGAAAGGATGAACGAAAAGGGGCCGATTTTGGAGGCTATTCAGGGCGACGAGCTGGTGCTTCATGTTTGCATCAATTTTCTTCGGAACCCTTCCAAGCTCCTGAAATGATTTTCTACTTCTTCAGCCGGCAACCAGAAAGAAATTCGATCCAGGACTCGTAGACAGCTGGTGAAGGTTCAGGGCTGGCTCGAAAAGAGAGGGAGCGAGCATATCAAATCTCGCTCAATCTTACTCTCCAATCACTGTCATTCTTTTGAAGGCGCACAAGGCAGTGGATGGAGACCATGCCCCGGAACGTTACACAGCCCCAGATAATGCACACTTCGTGGACTACGGCTCACTACCAGACATTAATCGGGATTATCTTCGTTCCTGTCATTCAAATGCGCTACATTCTCTTCGCACTCTACTCGAAATTTTCGGTCTCGACGAAAGCACTTCATACCACATTAATGAAGTTATAATATTCTCCGAAGACAATGACATCGGTTGGCTAGGCACTAATGTGCCGCAAGAGCATCAGGAGTCTTTTCAACAAGTTCGAGATAAGATAAAGAAGCCTCGGCGAGACCTTTTACGCTACTTCAGCTTCTAAGACTTGAGCCTCAAGAATTGTGTCCTGAACGTTTGATGCCTGTTGGAAAGATTGGCCATTGTGGTAGCTCATAATTCGTCTTCGGAAGACAACTGCCCAAAATGGGAACGACTGGCGGAGCTTGAAAGTCCGCACAATGACACGGACGATGTAATTGTATACCGGTACCTAATGCTGGCCGTTTTGTTCCGAACGGCTCCTGATAGTGAAAAGATGCTTCGCTCAGGGGTATGGGACCAGGTGGTGCCCATAATTTGGACCTCCAGCTAAGAAATGTTGTGTGATTGATTATCTTAGCTAGATACTCATGAATTTCAACACGTTGATGGGTAGGACTTTGGACAAGAGGCAATTTCGATTTTCGTTTCCAAATGCCTCTTGGATCAACATCCGTCTTTGATCCTTTTCTGTTGTGATGGGTTACAAAACAGCCTGAACATGCACGCCTTTTTCGTCATTCGATTCATGTACCATTCATCTGATGATAGATCAAAGCCATATTATCTTTCTGGCATGAGGGGGAACACGTCATCACGTCACAACTCGTTAGACGACGTCCGTAATGGCCAGCTTGAAGCTGAAGCATAGCCAGAGCATTATTCACGCGCTGATTTCATCACACTACAAGTCTTTGAAAGGAGACCGTCAAGAACGCTCGACATACGAGGAAAGTTTCATGAAGAATCCGAGTGATTTACAGGAAGTATCTCGACTAACATAAAGCTGATCAGTCCACACCGAGAGCTTCTTCGCAGCCCCATTTACTGCCCACTGCCGTTGTTGACCAACAGATTGGGCGATCCCTTCGGGTCGCCAACAACGTCAGGGATAGCAAGCTCCAGGATCCTGTCAGTAACCTCCTTGGGCGTTACAAGACCGCCCTCCAAGGCTCTGAGGTAACACACGAGACCGGCGACAAGCGGCGCCGCCATACTGGTACCAGTCTTCGTCGCCGTGCCCGTGTCAGAGCTATAGCTAGCAGAAATAATGTCCTGGCCGGGCGCGAAAACGTCCAGCTCGGGGCCGTAGGAGCTGCCGTAGATGCCCTCAATAATGTTGACACGGCCACGGTCAGGGCGCGTCATGCCAACGGTGAAGGACTCAGGAAGTCTGGCGGGGGAAGTGTCGGTGGCGGGCTGGTTGTCGTTGCCGGCCGCAACGACGGTGAGAATGCCCTGGTTGTAGGCGGCGAGAACGGCGTTGTCGAGGGCCGAGACGTTCTTGGCGCTGAGAGACATGTTGAGGACGGACTTGCCTTGCGCGCCCTTGGTCGTGATGTCGTTGACAGCCCAGTTGAGACCGGTGAGGATGGCTGAGGTGGAGCCCTGAGGAATCATTAGCACGAAGAAATCTGGACAGGGAGATGCTGTAATTACCGTAGAGCCGTCGAACACCTTGATATCAATGACCTTGGCCTTCTTGGCAACGCCATAGGTCTTGCCGACGATGGTCGCGGCAACGTGAGTGCCGTGACCGTCGGTGTCAGAATTTGAACCGGGAGAGACGGTCGACCCGGTGACACCATTGATACCGAAGCTGGCGCGGCCCTCAAACTCAGAGTGCGACGTCCGGATACCCGTGTCAAAGACGTAGGCAGTTGTGCCCTCGCCGGCGGTGCTATCATAGACGTACTCAGTAGAGCCAGCCGCCTTGTGAGACAAGTCACCCAAGCTCCAGATGCTGCTCGCCTGGGTGGTCAGATCGCGCTTGGAGAGCGTCGACTCCTGCTCAGTGGGGTCGACAAAGATGAGCTGGTCGATCTCGACGGAGAGAACCTCGTCGAGAGCGGCAATCTCCTCGAGGGTCGCGTCGTCGAAGCTGCCGCTGTAGGCGTTGAAGTCGCCAATCTGGAACGTCTTCTCCACCGTGCCCGCGGACCCATCACGGCGGCGGAGGAGGCTGCGCACCGCCTTGTGATGCGCCGTGACGGCCTCGGGAGTAGTGCCGGGCTTGAGCTGGATGATGTACTTGCCGGACATGAGGTCCGTGTCGGTACGGCGATCGATGCCCTTGGGCGCCGCGAGGGCAGGCACGACGGCGCCGAGGATGGCGAGGATGGACGATGCCTTCATCTTGGTCGATCACGCGAACACTGGGAAGTCGAGGATGATGACCTTCTCAGGAAAGGGAAAGGGTTGTCGGATCCTGAATGACCTTTAAATGCAGCCATCTTGCCCGTTGCGATTGCGGAATCTCCTGTTCATGAGTCGGCCGAGTCGTCCGGGGTTGTTGAACGACTGCCATGATTCTCATTGCGTGACACGGGGCCGATGCCCTATTCAGGAAGCTCGACGGCGCCGTTGCCGCGGGTAGATCCGACCCCGGCCGGCTCCTGTCAATAGTGAAAAGCCGGTATTCTGGCCTCACTGCCAGTTAGGTCTAATTTTAGATTGGTTTACCGTTGAGGAAATTGGCTACGAGTGCCCTATCACATCCAATTCCCTTGAATCTCTTGTTTTTCTCCTGAATGAGGTTATCGCAAACTTGCCAAAGACTGTAGATATCGTATAGCTGCTCTGTTAACCTCGTATTGATGCTTGAAGCATCGCCTTATCCGGACAGCCAAGCCAAAGCCCCGAAATTAGCCATGGGTCGCGATGGAACCCTGGCCATGGCGACCTTCCCCATTCTTCCTAACGGCTCTCCCCGCCAAGCTTAAAGATTCCTGCGTAATCGGCCACTGCCGAGCCCCAACAATATCCAGCCCTAGCTCCTAGCCATGCGGTCGCATGAGTCTTAGACTCTCAATTCTCGATTTGTAGGGTTCTTGTCCGCGATATCCGTGGATCGCAGTTCTGTGTGTCAGTATCAGCTATTTGCAAAGCCAAAGACAAAAGGCTCGCGGGCAACATTTCCGAATCGCGAAAACGAGAATGTAGCTCACTAGACCAAAGTCAGCAGTTCACTTCAACGCCAAGTATTGTGACTAATCCATGTCCCAGTTAATACAAGCCTGTTGAGTTTTCCCACCTGCGATATCAAGCTTAAAACAAGTTTAAACTTTAATGATACGACTTGGAAATACAGAAAAAGCTGTCTTGATAAATATTTCCATTCGTGGGGGTCAGTTGACATTGGCCCAGCCTGACACAGTGACACCTTTGCAACGGCCAACAAGCCCGCCATCTTCCCACTAGATCAACTTCTCAATCACTTTGAACCAGCCACATATCGAACCAGTCAACCATGGCACGAAGACTCTGTTCCTTACACCAACCTATTTTTAGTTAGTTAAGATCATTCGGGATGACGTGAAAGTATTCTAGCTGGTAAGACTCACGCTGGTAAGGGTCTGTTGGATCTCCTTTCACGGCGAAACCATGTGAGACGCCTTGGAAAACCTGAAGGTGATAAATTTTCTTCTCTCTTTGAAGGTAATCAATTGCTTTCCTTCTTGCCTCAGTCGGGAATGCTTGGTCATTCTCGGCGCACGAGAGTAGAAGAGGCTCTGTGGTAAACGGGTCAGCCGCCTCGACTCTGGAATGTTGGAATGACGCATTAAATCATGGTAACGACGGTACTATCGTGCTCATATGCGCCAGATTGGCTGCCTCATCGATAGTAATGGAGAATAGTCGAAGACGGGCACAGCTTCATTGTGGCCAAACTTACTCTTAATGCTGGTGAAATGTTCCTCCTTCAATGCCGTCGGGTGCGCAAATGCACCAGCGGAAACCACCGGCTCCCCATCGCCACCAGCCCCAGCGAGCAGATTGCACACAAAAGGCGCACCAAAGCAATATCCAACGCAAGCAAACTTGGTCTCCTTGCCCGTCTCAGCCTTTAGTTCGGCACCAAATCTCTCCTTGACGGCCGCTGTCCACTTGGGAACATTTTCCGTGGCGAAGTTCCAGTGCTTGGAGCGCCAGGCCGCCATGTCAAACCCCTCCGGCAGCGGGTCGGTTTTGGCGTTGCGGTACTTGGAGATGGGGTCGCCGCGAAAGAAGTCCATGCCAAGCGCCGTGTATCCCGAGGACGCGAAGCCGTCCATGATGCACTTGGCGTTGACGGAGAGGCCCCACACGTCCGGGAAGTAGAGGATGACATGTCCGTTGGGCGGGAGGGCGCGCTTCACGTCTGAAGGGCGGACGACGTAAGTGGGCACTTCCAAGATTTCTTCCACATCGCCGCGAGGGTTGCCTTCGTGGAGGGTGCCTGCCCAACAACACGGTGCCGGTGGTTGAGCGAGGTATTCTTGATTGCTTGATGATTTCTCCGCCATTTTACTTTTTGATGATAGAACTTGGGTCTTCTGTAAACGAATATGAGTGTTACTGGATACGACTGAGCTTAATAAATCGGGGTGGAAACGGAGAGATAAAGGAAATGCCGCATCGGTGCCGACTGCACATGGAGTTAGTGCGGCCCTGCGGGGTTTCAAACGGCTGCACACAGACCAGAAGTTCGGTCTAGAAACCTTGTTTGTGAGAGAATGACGTGCTTCGTTCAGCAACTCCTGTACCCAGAAGCTTTCCAAAGTCAAATTTTGTATTATAGAATCTCCCAACGCTGCGGATCTAAACACATAGTTTCTACAGTTGACTTGTCCCCTCCTTCGGCCTATTCTGAGCTGATGCCGTCTCCATAAGTCACCTTCTCAGGGTCAACTCCCCCTCCATCAGGATTTAGTGCATGTTATATATCTCCAATGTCAAGAGAAGTGAGCTCCTTACCGCAAGATCCCTCACTAATACGTAATAACGTGCGTCCGTCAGCCGCATATTCCAAAACTATTTCCCATGAGACCTTTCCAAAACCACAGTGAGCTTGCTTGATCGGCATCATGGTCATTTGATAGGTTCATAGTTGTAATTCGAAAGTTGACGAGAGATCTAAGCATATCCCAGCCATAGCCCATGTTCCCTGAGACCTGTCTCTTCCACGCAGATCTTCAACATGGTTGGCCTAATCCCCAGTAAAATGACAAATGAGCATATTTATGTACATAACTAATTTCCTGCGCAGATACACAACAGCTCTACTCAAGTATGTCCCATGATGAGGTAGACCATCTAATCTCTACAACATACTTAAGGACGAACCAGCACCCGGAAGGTAGTTGAGTGAGTCTCCAGCACTCCGCTTCTCTGCAGCGTCTTTGCCATCTCATTCCCGTAGGGTTGAGAGGAGCAGCTGATGAGTACTGTTGGCTGTGTTTTGTTCTTGTCTCGTCCCATTTCGTATGCCTCAGCAACGATTTTGGGGGTAAAGTGATATTCGTCGACTGGAGTAACTGCGATGAAAGAATCTATTGTCTTCTCCAATTGAATCCATGAGGCCTCGGCGTCCGATCCAGGCTTCAGCGACCACATGGTCTCGCCATTGACAAGGTATTCTTCGCTCTGAATGACATGAGGTTGGAAATCTTGGTATGCGTCTCTTGTTCTGCAGCATAGTAGGCTTAGGAGTCTCCGCCGCGCAAGCATGAAGAAATTTGGTGCAGGATGCTGTAATTTGCCCTGTTTATTGATTCCCCGCCGGTCTGTTGGCACCCCGCTTTTCTCCTTCGAGTGAGGTACATAGCTGAAAGTCATGAGATGATGGATTCCCACTCGAGATTGGAATGCTCTCTAAGTTTGGTGATGATAATGTCGTAGACTTGGACACTTTCATTGACGATGCAGTCCCAGAGAACTTCTGCCTCCACAGGCGTTATATACATCAGGCCTGAAATATGCCTTGCCGCTCTTGCGGAGAGACTCCGCGAGACGGATTGATGAGTATCTAGGGGGTCAGAAGTTTTTCGGTCAAAGGCGCGCATGCGCCAGCGCCACCGCTTATTGTGGCTTGCAAATTCCTCTGATGATTTGTTTGTGTGACGCATTGTCACCACATCAATACAACCCATGCAATCAGGCTGCGGTCAGCTGCATCCTGTTCTGGATGTCGACTAACCATACAGACCGCGCTTTAGTGTCATTCGCCAAATAAAAATTCGTACCCGACACGCCTGAGAAACATTTTCCAACGAGGTGCGTCACAACCCATGGCGTGACCAATTGACTTTATATTTCCAGAGCGCCTTTTGAGCAGGCTACTAACGTAATGCATGAAGTTCTCCAAATAGTATCCCAACATTGGTTGACTGTTTCCGTACCAGTAGGTAAATTTCAGAACTTCAGCGCTGATTTTCAATATTCATGCGGTTATGACTTATATTTGCATGTTGCATCAGTCCAATCCGATTAAGATGCCACGGGCGGGATCCCGAAAATTACTTCCTATTCTAGATATTTAATTGGTATATGACTGCGTGGCTCCAGGTAATACAATCTCTCTTGAGGTGGATCTAATCCTACAAGTCGACCTTTTTCAAAAAGCGGATCAAATCTCTTGTGCAAGCAAGGGTCTAGTTCTTCTTTTCGTCGCCTTCACTTCTACCTCCAAATGAATCAACAAGCGCTCGACTGCAGGTTACAAGGTGCCCACATCTCGGACGAGCTGGCCAAGGTTCTAGCAGGTCGTATATGGCGATCGCATTACACTGGACATGAAGGGTTGTATAACTCAAGAAACATTTCCTCTCTAGACTTAGGTTGACCCTAAGCCATGTGATAGACCGGCTTCCGAGCTTGACAGCTATGTCTTTGCCTTGGAGGCAAAGCTGCAAGTCTTTTCCGAGAGTCTACATGTCATTCGTCATTTCCGCCACCTGGTCGATCTGATCGATCTGATTCAAAAGAAACGAAATCATCCTCGCGAAGAGATTGGGCAGGATGCTAGGATTTTATGCAATAGATGGTTTACAGATCCATTGAAACTTGATGTGCCTGTAGTATGTATTCCCTCCCAAGATTTTGTTTTGAGGTTCAAGTCTTGTGACAACTGCTGTGCTGGAGTACCACACTTGTGCTAACCCTGTTCCCAAGCCTCCTGCAGTTTACAATTCCATCGACTTCGCCGTTGATGTCTGGCTATTGCGTCGCTACAACACAGCTGGCTTGAGTCCAACGCCAGGTGAACACATTTTCGCCTGGGAAGGTGCTGATACTCCAATGACTGACGCCTTTCGACTCATTTTGCCTGGTCATCAAGACATAACTTCGCCACCACCTGATCAAGTCTTTCCAAGCACACTCACTCTGCGCGACTTACACGCACTTGGAGATTTTGTCATACAGCCTACGGACAATCTATTTCAACATCTTTTGGTGCAAAAACACCGGAACCGGAAGATGCGACCCACGGTATACGTTTTCTTCAATGTCTCTGCCATTTCCAAGCTACAGACATGGAATGAGCCATTAAATGGGTTAGTAAATAGCCTGTCTTGAACAGAAATTAAGAATACATGATTATGAGTACTAACCTGAGGGCAAAGTGTTCATTTCGACGACCCCAAGTTCCTTGAAGAGACTCTTCAAACATTGGCTCTTCTGCTCCCATCTTACGATGAACATTCCCAAAGCTGGTTTATGAATTATTGCAAGAAGATGCAGCGCAATTTGCCAAGCAACAGTCTCCCTGCAATTGACCGTCGTGCTGGACGACTGCCTTTTGCTTCAAGGCGTAAAGTTGGTTATTACTACTGGCTCCCACGACTGCTAGATTTGGAAAAAGAGTTTGCAAACTCATCCCCGAGGACTCTGAGACAATTCTTGCGTGACCGTCGGCGTTACCGTGAACTGACTCTATACTGGGTAGCTGTCATCGCCCTGGTGCTGACTCTGATATCATCATTGACGGGTGTGGTATCCGCCATCGTTGGTGGCTTGGCTCTGAGGGGGGGCAAAGATGGCAAAGGGTCACTCGATTCAGTTTGCTATTGCCGCGACGTAAACTCCGTTACAAATATCTTAACGGTAGCAAGTGTGATTACGGCGTCTGCGCCTGGGATGACTCTTGAGCCAGCTCGAATCATAGATCCATCCCAGACAATGATTGTTACGGTAAGAATTACTACTACAATTACAGTGGCCGGGGCATGATGTCGCCCGGTATCTGATTCTCACGTCGTTATTACGTGGTACATACAAATCGACTTTTTTCACGGGCATTATTTAGACTAAGGTAGTCGCCCTTCAAAACACTGTGGATTGTTACTCGTTTAATTCGTGTCTATTTTTCCAAGCTCTATAAGTCTATGTGTGACATGCCATTCACGCAGCTTTTAGCTTATGCCGCGCTTCCATTCATTTGAAAATAAAAAGGTCTAAACAGTATACGGGTATCTATGAGCTCTCGTACTTGGCCAAGATGCTCTCAAAGTCCTTCCAGTTGTGCATAACATCAAAAGCGCCAAGCTCCTCGCTGAAGAGCTTGATCATGGAGTCCAGCTTCTCCTGGCCCTCCTCGTAGTAGGGTCCGACGTATCCCAAAAGTGGAATGCCGGCGTTCTTGGCAGCAGTAGCACCGCTTCTGCTGTCCTCAATGGCGATGCACTCGCTAGGCTTGTAGCCGAGCTTCTCGCAGGCGTGGAGGTAGATGGCCGGGTTGGGCTTGGAGACGGGGGGGTCGATGCTGCTGGCAGCGGAGAAGATGCCGACGTCGGGCTTGTCGAAGAACTGGTCCATCTTGGTCTTCTCAATGGAGGCGACGACGCGGGGCATGGCGGAAGAGGAGACGATGGCCATGTGGTACTTCTTGTCCTTCTGGAGCTTCTCGAGGACCTCGATAACGTTCTCGCAGGGCTCGGCCTTTGCACGAAGGTTCGCAATGGTGGTGTCGAGCTCCTTGGCGACCCATTGGTCGAACTCGTCGGCGGGGATGGTGAAGCCATGACGGGCGCAGAGGCCGGTCATCATGCTGCGGAAGTTTTGACCGACAAACTGGTGCATGAGCTCGGTGCCGCCATAGCGCTTCTCGAAGCCGAACTTCTCGAGGATCTGGTTGGCAAGCTGAGCGCAGGCCTCGAAAGCGGCGTTCTCAGAGAGAACGAGCGTGTTATCGCAGTCGAAGAGAAGGCACTTGATCTATCATGAAAGTGGTTAGATGGATTGATCTTGAAATAGTTCATAAGGTTGAGCCATTGAAGCTAGGAAGCCAGTATCTTTACTTACTTGAGGCATCTTGAAGGATATGGAATGGCAATTCTAAGGATGAAAATATGAGGGAGGAAACAGAGTGAGGAGAGAAAAGAAAGAAACTTTGTTACTGTTGGTGACAGATTTTCAATGATCGGCGAGCTTGTGAAAGGTGGGGGGTCATCTTCAGGAACAACGCGACGGTCCCTGGGCGGATCATGGATGGAGGGGCAAGTGGGTTCCAAAAAAAAAGAGCGCAGACAGGTTTCAGGAATACGGCACTGCATTTACTTCCCTGTCGAGCATGTCTTATCGCAAGCTACGTTGCCAATGACAGCAAGGCGTGGACAAGAAAGCTCAGGGATGTTCCTGACAACTCCTCCGAAACTGTACACGGTATTCAATCATATGGTATCAACGGCACTTCTTCTTTTGATTTGACACTTGTCTACAACATGAGGCTTTGAAATGGCATTCCTCTCTACGCTTCTTTCCGATATGACCCACATCGAGGGGTTGGAGGGGCAGACCTCGAAAGGAACATTCTATCGGCCCGCCCATTGATTCTCCTTGGGATAACCAACGGGAGGCTGAGAAAAGGACCGAAAAGCTTCGGTCAACGGTTCTGCGACGGCATGATGTCATTCGATGACGTAGGGCGCAGAAAGACTCCATCAAAGTGTGGATTTGGTGCAAGATGGATACTGGTCTGACTCGTGAGCCGCGACAGCCGTCGACAACGGTAGACTTTCGACGGTGAGGTGGATAGTGGGCCGTTTTGATTTTGGACAACATCTATTCTGGGGTTGGCAGCTTAATTAACTCTTTGAGCCTTTGAAGGCGCAGCTGCGAAGCTGAGGCGTCGTGCTCTCGTGAAGCCCTACTTGGGTGACCAAGATACATCCAACCTAATCTGCCTCGCGTCCGTATTGTGATTATCGAATTGGCCGCCAGCATATGAAACCAAGTCCTTCGCAATACCTCGATAGCTACTTTCATCTGAAGGTGTCTGCTTCTTCAAGTCCTTCGAGTCTTTCGAGTCCTTCTTTCGATCGGTTTTCGAAGTTATATTCTCCTCTTCATGTGAGGCTTTAGTCGATTGTGCAGAGCCGCATTGTGCAGCAACTGAGCTTGAGGCTTGGCGTCGTGAAGATTCGGAGGGTCTGCAGCGATTAATTTAGCTGATATCAAGCAAAAAGAGATGAAAATAGTGTTGGGGCTCACAGCTCTATATCTCGGGGAGGTTGAGGTTCCATTACGTCTTGTGGTCTATCCGCCTTAGCGTCATTGTGCTTGTGCTCGATCGAAGGCTGGACGGGCTGGACGGGCTGGACGGGCTGCTCCATCTCTGACGAAGTAATAAGCTTCTGTATATTTGGTAGTCAGCTCTTGCAGCTCAATAGGTAATTGACAATAATCTAGCTAGCGGACCACGATACCGCTAGCCTGAGTACTTTAGTCAAACTTATCTTGTCAGTCTAATCGCTTGTACACCGCTAGTTTGTACCTAGGTAAGAATGGCTTAAGTCTTTTTGACAACTTTCACTTACTTGGGGTATTCTGTAAGACTCTAGGAAGCGATGAAGAGTTGCGACATGCAAGATCACCGCGTCTCATCCAGGTTGAAGACGTGCAGAGAATTCGAAAACGAGGAGAAATTTAAGAAAGAGTGCGAGGCGCGGTTCTCCAAGTCCTAACTCGACTCTACAAAGTCAAAGGGAAAGCATGAAGTAGCTGTTGGCTTTTGGAGCCCTAATAGTTCAGATGCTAGCCCACGATAACAGCTACATCTAAAGCCCTAGTGGTTATTGCTTTTATTCTCCTTCTTGGATCAATTTTGGCCATTAGATTATCTATCCTATTAACAGTATCGTGAAATGCAGAGAAATCAATGGCTCTGCCGAGCCGTAACTTCGTGAGGGTGTGGCAGGATGCAGGAGACACGTCGCATTGTGGACAGGGTCTCCTTTGGCCGGTACCTAATTACAGCATATTTCCAACAGAATTCACTGAGAGACTGCCTATGGTCTGCCGTGCTTATATACCCGAGGCCCTGATCAGCCCCAAGTCAACCTCTCTTCTTGGTAGGAAGGGTGGTTGGGTCGTTAGAGGAACGGAAGTGTAACGAAGATTACAGCCGCACTGGCGGACGCAACGTTCAGAACTTTCAAAACCACCACCTAGTTCCGGAATGTTCATTCAATCTCGTCAGAGGCTTCAGATTTCTGGATGTGGGAATGGATTCCCCCGGAAACAATCACTTCGATAACGCCTTTTGAGAGACTCATACACAGGTCCCACAGTCTCCCAACTTTCGAGTCCTTCGGAAATCACCTTCCTCATGGCGGCAAAGTGCAGTAAAGGCTGGAACAAGACCCAGGCTTCCCGATCGGCTCATCATTCTATTGGTTCCGAAGAAGAGGTGCGTAGGCCGTTGACATTTCTAGCAAGGGTATCTAGTACATCACGCGTGCTTGGTGGCGCGTCCGGGTCAACTTTGGGTTCCTTTCTTCCAGGGCTTGGCAAGGCAACCGGTCGCCTTGTCGTATGCCAGCCAATTACTCGGTGTGTATAGCTCGGTCAATCGCTTTCGCGACCGTTCCCTTGGCGATTCGGTGCTCCGTGTCTCTTGAACCCTCACTCAGAAGCCTTGGGGGCCGGGCTCGATGATAATCCCATTCACTGTGGCCAATGGTGTTGGTCGCCTCCCTCAGTATGAAACAAAACACCAACAGGTACTTGTTGTTCTTTACAATAATCTTTACATCCTGCGATACATGGGATATCATCGCAGACGACTGGTTGATGGATCACAATAGTTCTGGCCTCTTTTCTTTTGATAAAGCTAATCCAGGCTGGATCGATCAGCCGTACTGTCAAAGATGTCATTCCCATCGAATGCGATTTATCCCAAATCTTTCCGCGAACGTGTGCATTCGGCGTTGGTTCACGGCTTTGAAACACACCTTTGTGCGGGCTATGTTACTTTAGGCAACCAAGGCACCCCCTTTCCAATTGCACTACGCGGAATTCGGCAGGCTACAGATTCATCGAGTAAAAAATTGGTATCAACCAAGACAATTTTCCAACGATATCTTGAATCGATGCTCCATACAAGTTGTTTTATTGTGTTTATACTGATTAGATAATCTGAGATCCTTCCCAACATTAGCGTTGAAGATTCCAAACGTGCCATGTCCACAACGGGCTCCGTCAGCTTACACCCCCGCACAACGCCGCAAAAGCTCATCTGAAGACACATTCAGCAACTTCCCCAGACTGACCTGAACAAGACTGTGAGCTATGGCACCGCGGAATCGTGAAGAGCTTCTCGCCTACGGCATAGTCGATCCGTCAATCGAGGCCGTAAGTTCACGCCAGCCCACCGTCCACTAACCTTTATCTTCTCAGAGCATGCATAGATGCTAACAACGTGTCTCCTTCTCCAGGAACTCGCTGCCCGGCCTCTCCGGGACCCGCAGCGCGGAGACCCTTACTTTGGACGAAATGACTTCTTCGCGATGCGAGAACATCGGGCGACGCGCTTGCGTGAGTCCCATCACCAGCGCTACCTCCCCGGCCCCATTCCGGAGCAGGTCCGCGAGGATGACCGCAAAGTCACCATGAGAGACGGCCATGAAATCGCCATTCGGGTATATGCCCCCGTAAAGGCCCCTTCTGGAGGCAGTCCACTCATTGTGATGTATCACGAGGGAGGGTGGTGCATGGGTGATCTCTCTGACGAAGAGGTGAACTGCCGCCTGTTCAGTAGAGATCTCGGCGCAGTTTGCATCAATGTTGAGTATCGGTTAGCTTACGACTTGAGCCTCAATGCTCTGTATCAACACTGACTTAAGCAGGCTCGCTCCCGAGTTCCCCTTTCCAACCGGTATCAATGACAGCTGGGACGCGTTGCAATGGGCAAGTCATGCATCCACCTCCTTAGTTGCGTCATGACTGACCAAGGGTCGTGTCCTAGGCCGCTGAGAACGTAGCCGAACTAGGCGCAGACCCTTCCCAAGGTTTCATCATCGGTGGCGGCTCCGCGGGCGGTAACATCACGGCTGTCCTCGCCCACCTCGCCCGCGACGAAAATCTCTCCCCGCCGCTCACGGGACAATACCTCTGCGTCCCAGCTATCATGTGTCTCACTCCTCCCGAATCCATACCAGAAAAGTATCGCCCCGAGTATCTCAGCCACCCCTCCGTTACGCTGTGCAAAGACCCCGTTATAGGCAACACCGCCGGTGATGGAGAAGCGGCACTGCGTGCTATCATTCAGCCCGACGTGGAGAGTCCTCTCTTCATTCCGTTCCACTATGGTAGAATCGGTCAGGGTCACAAGGGGCTGCCACCAACATACTTCCAGCTGGCTGGGCTGGACCCTTTCCGAGACGAAGGACTTATCTATGAGCGGGTTTTGAGAGAGGAAGCTGGGGTCAAGACGAAGCTTGATATCTACGCTGGGCTGCCTCACTACTTTTGGACCAATTGGCCACTCTTGGAGAAGAGCAGGACCTTCGTGGAAGATACCCTCAAGGGTATTCAATGGCTGTTGGAACAGAATAAGTAGAAGAGAGAAAAGCTGTTCTCAGTTCTCTGAGGCTGAGTCTTCTATTGTGCACCGGCCCACGAAGCTACAGGTATCAATCACTTCACAACTGCCGTTTGATTCAGAAAATCATGAGCTATTGAGAAGTCAGGACCATGTTTGTATGTACTTATGCTTAGATACACAGCAATGCTCCTTTCGTATCATCTGCCAACTTGGCCCTCCATAATCGGTTCTCATTCAAGATGAAGATTTCTCCATTGCGGCCGAAGCAGAAGTTGGCAGCACCACCCTGAACAAGGATCTTCCCTAGCAAAACACCCCCTGCAGACCAGATGTTGACGCCGTCACCGCAGCCGCTGTACACGTTTCCGTGCACGTCGCACTTGATGCCATCCGGAATGCCGGTATCAGCCATGGCAAAGAGACGTCTGTTTGTCAAAAAGGGCTCCCCTGAGTAGGGGACCAGGTCGAATGCGTAACTGTCAATCTTTGTTAGTTCATTTGATCTCATAAGAGGTGTCGTATCCTAGCTGGTGAAGCCACGTAGTAAGGACTCACATTGTTGACGCTCGCGTGAGATCAGTGGAGCCATCACCATGAATCCAGTCGGTGTCCGTAATGTACACGGTCTTCTCGTCAGGGCTGAAGCAAATACCATTCGGCCGGCCGAAGCCATCGGCCATGGCCCTAATCGACCCACGGATGGGATCATATCTGTAAACTTGGTTGGGAAGCTGCGGCTTCGGCCGGATACCCTGTTCATAGCCATAAATCGGGTCGGTGAACCACAGAGAGCCGTCACTGTGCACCACAACGTCGTTGACAGAGTTGAACTCCCGTCCGTGAAACGAGTTGACCATCATACGGGTCTGGTAGGGTGGTTCCGCCTCCATGAAGACCAGGCCTCCAGGTGCGGAGTGCGTACCCTGGGCGCAGAAGACGACCCCGTCCAGGTAGTTGACGCCCCCGTTAGCCATCGTTATGATGGCGGGGTTGATCTCCTCACATTTTGTCTTGGAACTGCCATCCGACGACAGCGTGACGCGGCTGATCTGGATCTTGCGACCGCCGGCTGCGTGGTCGTCGTACTGGTTGCTAGTGATGAAGAGCGTGTTGTTACGCTCGATGAAGACGCCTGCCTCATGAGCGAAAGGGTAGTCCTGGTTCTCGTGCAACAGCTCGAGCGACGGTGCGGAGCCGAACAGCTTCTTGATTCGGTCATCGTAGACCACAAAGTTTGCCATTGTGAGGAGCTGAAGATGAGTTATGTGGTAAGCTGATTAAGACAATCAACGTCGTATTGCCTTCAATTGCCAAGAAGGTTCTTCGAGAAGCACTGCGGGAATTCTTGGCGTCGACGTTCAACGGTTGGACGGCGGTTGAAGAGCAATCAGTCGGCGTGTTTTTGTGTCCCCAGGTCGCACGGATGCGGGGCACGACTGCGGGCACGATGCACCTGTTCCTGTCACAGGATAGAGTTCGTGGGTCTGTGGCCAGTGTTCGGCCTGCGTTCGGCAAATGTCTCAAGAGCTGCGTCTGCCTCACGTGCATAGTCACGAGTCGGCATTTACACGACGAGGGACTGCGGATATTGATTGTATTAATCTGCTCAAGCATTGCGCGTCAAGATGATTTCAGTTTTATCGGAGGCCAACCGGCTGCTGTAGAGTGTAGACTTTTCCCATGCTAGTTGCAGTCCAACCCGCGTCACCGAGTCAGGATACAACGTCGAGACCTTCTTCGCTCAGGGGAATTTCTGGGTTTTTAGAGAGGTTTTCAAAAATTCATTTTACCCAAAAGAGGGCCTCCTCACCAGTTGAGCCATGAAGATGGTTATCAGTCTGCTTTATGTGGCTGGCTGCATGTGGTCGTGGCCGTACCAGCGCAACTGCACGAAAATGGCTAACAAACGTTGGAGGTGCCATACCACAGATAATCGATTTCAGAACACTGCTCTGATTCATCCTACTAAATCCACATGAGCTTCACTCTGAAGATCTGCAATCAATGCCCCTTTTTCGCCGCAATGGCTTCCAATCTGTGCTTTCAGTCTTGACCCAGCACTAACAGCAACCACGACTAAGCCCTGCTGACGTCTTCGATATCCCAGACTTCATGCTTGCTATCTCTATCATGGATCGTATTTTCAAAGTCATCGCCGGCAAACAGGCGATCAACATCCTCCAGCTCCAATCCCTTGGTCTCAGGGAAGAACAGGTAGATGACGGGCACCCACGCGGCGTTCAAAACCGCAAAGATAATGTAAGTACGCCATCCAATACTCGAGATAGAGATTGGAGTAACTTGAACAACCATCTACATATTCGATCAATCAGCAGCTGCTAGAGTACATCTTTCTATCCGCAGGGTACTCACGTAATTGAAAATCCAGTTGGTAGCACTGGAAATGGACGAGCCCAGTTGCCGAATCCGCAGAGGCAAAATCTCCGACCTGTAATACGAGCACGGCAGTTAGCGCAAAGACTCCACACGAAGGGCAGAACAGCTAGAAGAGGAAACTTACGGGTAAACCCAGACAGTGGCCTGGAAGCCGATGGTAAAGGCACCCTGGAAAACGAAAAGCATGGCCGCAGCGCCAATGCCAGCTGATTTGGCGATGGCAGTAGAGTTTTGGACCTGGTAGATGAGAGCTGCTTGGACTGCCATGACGGCCGCCATGACACTAATCATGGACAAGAGCTGTCGTATCTCGTTAATTTGACTTTTTCCTACCACACTTTGGGGAAATGAAGGGGTGATGAATATTTACCAAAGGTCTTCTGCCCACGCGATCAATCAAGAACCATGGAATAAACGAAGCAACGAAGAACCAGGTCTGCAGGAATCCAGACATGAGGCTTGACATGTGGCTATCGAATCCGATGCTCTTCTCAAATAGAGTACCGCTGTAGTCTTCAGAAGGGACAGCCGTCAGTATACCTGTCTCTAAAGACAAAGAAACAATTTTAGTTACGAATACGACTCACAGATGATAGCATTGATTCCTCCAAGCTGCTGTGCGCCTTGCAAGAAACACGCAATAAGAAATCTCCTCTGGCTCTGAATACGATCTTGCACCAAGAGGTCTCGCCACGAACTCGCGCTGTTCTCGGCCTCGTATGTTACCGTTTGCGTGATCGAGTTGTGCAGAGCAAGAATTGTGTCCTCGTCCTCGTCACACTTGAGGCGCTTCAGAACGGCCAGGCATTCATCTGATCGCTTGTGTGCCGCAAGCCATCGCGGAGTCTCGGGTATGAACTGCAAAATGATGAACATTGGCAGGATGCAGATGCACTGCAGAGCAACTGGGACTCTCCAGGCGTAGCTCTCAAGGTGTGACGAGAAGGCGTAGTCGATCCAGTAGATGAGGAAGATTCCAAAGTTTAGGGTAGATAGTTGTGCGCAGACGTCTATAATCCGTCAGGTCAGCAAAGCTCTCCACAGTTTCCTCTCTAGAGTCGGCTGAGATGCCTGGCAATCTCAATTGTATCCGCGGGAAAGTTCCAACTTACAAATGCCACGGCTTGCCTTGGGGCTGAACTCGGCCTGAAGAACAGGAACAGTGGAGTTGACGATGCCCATTCCGACACCAGAGACGATTCGCCCGACAATCATCTGAGCGCGTCCATACGAAGCGGCTTGAATGATGGCACCGACGACCATGATAGAGCAACCAGTTCCAATGGTCTTTCGGCGGCCGTACTTCTCGCCGAAAAACGCCGTTGCTACACAGCCAAAGAAACAGCCAACTAGAGATACCAGAGTCAGCTGACCGTAATCATGGACTTCGAGTCCCCTCGTCGAGTCTACTTGCCTTCGTAGATTGCCACGATGAGGCCTGTCATGGTCGGGTCTGGAGAGTCGAACGTCGAGTTGAATGCCGGGGCATTGACTAAAGAGGGCTGTCAGAAAGTGATCCAACTCCTGGCATCTCGGTGTAGTTTGTAGGGATAACGTACCCAGTCCTCCCATAAGGCCATTGTCATAACCGATGAGCATGAAACCCAGCGATGTGAGAACGCTGACGGCCAAGACAAGCCGCTGCCCTCGAAGTTCACCCATATTGAATAAGGAGTTTCGTCTTTGTAGGCTCGGGAGTCGAAAGAGTATGGGGTCTAGAAAAGAAGCGGCTCTTGCACCTTTGAGCGTGCGGTAAGCTCACTGTCTGAACTGAACTAGAACGCTTCCCCGCGAAAGCTGTCGTCTGAAGGTTCTCTGCGAACGTTTATAAACACATGGACACAATTCGAGAAACGATCGGACAGTTCGTGATCATACGCCAAGTATCAAGATCGACGCGGTTAGTACCACTTCCCCGGGAATCCACACGACACGGGGTAGAGCATTTCTGCGGGGAGTTTGGGGTTTCACTGCGGGAAGGGGAGACGTCGAATGCCGTCTGAGCCGTTTCGAGACCAATCGCGTCAAAGTTTTCTTTGCAACTTGCTTCATCGGACGGCAATTCAGATGTTGACACGCAAGCAGGAGAGCTGTTTTCTGGGTAACCGACGCAGGCAGAGTTTCTGCTGGTGAGACGCGTCGGCTACTGAAAGTCTGAACTTTTGGTACGCTTTCGTGGCGTTGTAGCTTCTTTGTGACCGCGTCACGACCTGAGAGTCGGCAATTGACAAATACTCAAGAGACTTGAAGGTCGGCAATTGCCAATACACTATGGATATGGATCTAGGTCAGCTGTTCAATGTTCGTTTGCCGAAAGTTCTCAATTGCCTTGCAGTAGCCATCAAATAGTGTCCCTAACTAGAAAAGGGCGTCTTTGCCATTCCATTTACACGAGAGCAATACGATGCGCTGTGGCATGTTTGGGGCCACCCGCGATTCATGCTCCAGTTTACTGTCACCGATAGCGGCGGCAATTGAACATTCTCGGCTATCAAAGCTCGGCCTTCGATCCGCGCCCTTCTCCCAACCCCTCATTCAGGGCCCTCTCAATCGACCTTATGAACCAACTCATCTAAACCTTTGGATGTCTACCTCCGTACCTACGGAATAGCCCAGATATCCCAGTCCAGACACGACGCCGACGAGTACCTCTCGAACAGGATTAGCCCGTGTTCTGTTACCTACCTATCATCAAGGTGCATACCAAAAGTCTCGAACCGTCCGCAGGTCTGTTACAAGGGTCCAACTGTCAAGATGGTCCAATACAGCATTAGAAGCACAGACAACACCACCAAGGGCCGCCTAGCTCTAGTGACAGGGGCGAGGTAAGTGGCCATCCCACCTTGGACCCCTCCGCTAGTGAGGCTGTCATCGTATGTTCCCGCTGACCAGATAATCTTCACCGGCGATCAGTGGTGGCATAGGCTCATCCGTTGCCCATGCTCTCGCCGCAGAGGGCTGCGATGTCGCATTACACTATTCGTCAAGTCAGGTACGGCATCACCGATGACAAGATGGGGACGGGGCCACGGGTGCACGGGGGACCATACGGGTCTACGGCCCGTGAGGCCACCCACGCAAACCACGGGCCTAATCTCTTCGGTATATTAACATCCAGAACAGGCGAAGGCGGATGCTCTGGCTCAAGAGCTGCGCGATAAGTATCCATCGCAGCTCTTCGTCCCCTTCCAGGCCGACCTCTCCTCGAGGGAATCGACCCGGAACCTGGTGCCTAGCATCTTCGCCAACGGCGAGGTCGCGCAGAAGCACAAGGCCGTCTCGGTGCTCGTCGCTAACGCCGGCCTCGGTCGCCGGATCCGCGACCCGGCGGACATTGGCGAAGACGACTGGGACGAGATGATGGAGGTCAACGCCCGCAGCCAGTTCGTTGTGACAAAGGCCTGCCTGCCCGGCATGCGCGCTCAGGGGTGGGGCCGTGTCGTTCTCGTGGGCAGCATTGCGAGCCGCGGTGGGGGGATCAACGGGTGCCATTACGCCGCTACCAAGGGCGCTCTCTGGTGAGTGTTTTCCCAGTCATCTGTTTTTTGTGACCTTTTGAGATGTGCTCTATCCGCACTTGGCATGTTCGTATATCTTGTTAATTAGTTTCCCGGCGGGATGTCCCGGTCTTCTGGGGTCGTTTACGGCGTGACCGAGAAATGGGGGCCGAAGCTTGTCTAACTCTAAGCCGCAGCTCAATGGGTCTTAATTTGGCCACGTTCTTGGCACCGGAGGGTGTTACCGTGAATATTGTAAGCCTCAACTTTCATCGTCTTCGGGCCGAGGGTCGAAGTGAAGTATGGACTGTTACTTGAGCTGTGCTGACATTGCTTCTCAGGTGCTGCCCGCCATGATTGGGGCCACTGGCATGATTGCCACTCCGAAATCAACGTGAGCAGCAGACATTTGTCGTCTATGGTTCTGTCTTGGCATTTCACTGACATGAGCGCCCTATAGAACCTGGGATAGTAAAGATGACCTTGAGGAGTTGAGGTCCACAGATCCGGGGCTGGCCATTGCTGCCAGCGTCCCGGTCCACAGATTAGGCGCTCCCGAGGAAGTGTCAAACGTTGTCGTAATGTAAGTTACCGAACTGACCGGCGGGAGCTATTGTGGTGCTCTTTTGTATTTTTCTCACTTTGTGCTGACCCGTGATCGCCGTCCGCCCCCAGGTTTGTCAAGACTGGATATCTTACTGGCCAAGAGCTGGTCCTCGCCGGCGGATTGAAATGAGTGCCGAATGAGAGGGAGGAGACTCCGAGACTTTTCTAACCCACCGAGGCAAAATAGAGATTATTCGCCGAATGGAACGCTATTACTTGCGAGAAGAAAATGGGAACTTTTCTGCTTCGTCGCAGATGATGAGCAGCAGCTTTAGTCTCGTTGGTGATGTCCACGCGATTAGACATGGATGTTGAGACCAAGCTCGTAGAGAGTTTAACAGGGTCTCGAATCCTATGCAGCTACCACTATGTTAGTTAGTACGGATAGTATTAGTGCAGACTCTAGAGTGCTCTCAAGTACTCCCTACCGTTTCCCCCTTAGAAGTCAGCTGTGCCGCCATAAAACTCAAAGTTCAAAGGAAGAGGGGATTTGGGACGAGCTAACTCTCGATCGGTAATACCTGCGAATTATACCCTACTCCTAAAAAGTATACATTTGTGAAGTCTTGAGAGTCGCAAAACAGGGTAGTGCGTAAACCTTCACCATCAAAAGGTGCGTCATGCATCGAATTTTACGCCGACAATACCACCGCTAGACAGAAAAAACATTAAAACCCCCCCAACTATCGCCGAAACAAGCCTGCCACATTGCCGTACTTCCGTGGATGACGGACGACTAGCCCTGGATTGCCGTGCCGATGCTCTCTTTACCCCATTCGCATCCGGGCTCTCACGCCTCCAGAGTCCCCAGAGTCCCCCCTCAGTTGTGCTCCACTCAGTCCAAAAACCATCGGTCCATCACCAACCGCCGCGTTGGCCCGACATTCACCGCGACCTGCCGTAACCGCTTCCGCCGCCGCTGCCCCCTCGCATCCACACGCTTGGACCGAAGAGGAGGAAGAGGAGGAGAAGGAGGAGAAACCGAGCACACCGAATCGCCGACGTAATAATCGCAACACCATGTCTGTGGACACCGCTGCCGCCGCCCCCGTCACCGACCGCCGGCCTTCTACGACGATGGTCAGTCCCCCGCATCAGCAGCACCACCGCTTGCCTCACGCGGTGACGGCTACTGGGAAAGAGAGACGGGTATCGCGCGCTTGCGTCTCCTGCCGGCTCAGGAAGACGAGATGTGACTTGTGAGTAAACTTCGCCGTACCAGTTACCCCTCTACTTTATGAGAGATATCATGAACACACATGTACACCAACATGCCACGGCGTGCAGGCCGGTAATTGGATTAAAGATATGAGTGTTGGTTGGAAACTCATGAGAAACGCCTGCCAAGGCCCAGCTTATCTTTTGACTAACACCACCTTGTTTCCCCCTCATGTAGAGACTATGGCGGTAACCCAGGTATACCACCCTGCCGTCGCTGTGTAAGAGAACAAAAAGAATGCGTCCTAGCAACATCAAGAAGAGGCGGCCGACGGCCCCGTAAGTTTGTCCGCTTACCACAAGGTGACGATGCCGTCTTCCCGCATCAACAACAACAGCAACACTCGGACACCGTCACCGGGCCGGCAGCATACGACTCAGGACCGGGAGCCGGAGACGTCGGCATTTCCTCGGCGACGAACATCCGAGAACACCAGCACATGCACCACCAGCGCTCCACCAGCCCGGCGGATTCTCGGCACCGCAACGACGGCGGCGAGCCCTGGTCGTGCTCCCCCGAAGAGGACGACGACGGCCCGGCAGAGAGGCCGGCGAGTTGGCCCGGCTCCACTTCGCAGCCGGACAGCCCCGGCGGCCGGTCGACCCGGTCCCTCAAGAGTTCCGGCGATATCGAGGGCCACATCACCTCCAGTGACTTGTTGAATCCTTCTGATGCGCTTAATCTCCTGGCGCAGGTTGCTGACCTCGATGGGGAGGAACGGCGTGACGATATGCGACACCTGTCTGTGAGTGATGCTACGGGTCGGGATAAGTGCAGTCCCAGGAAAGGGTCACGCAAGCCATCGACACCTGCGGCGACCCATTATCCGCCAATATCAGACGGAGTATTAAGTCTACCTGTCGCTTCACGTCTACTCACATTGTATGACACCCCTCACCCACTCGATCCTCTTCAAGACACCCTTATCGTGGGGCTAACCACAACCAGATACATCGACCACTTCCACCCCTTCTTCCCCGTAGCAGACAAATGCATCCTCACCCACACCCCCGCCACAGTCTCCTCCCTCATCGATTCAGAACCCCACCTCGTCACCGCAATCTTCACAGTCGCCTCCAAAGACGAGCCATCCATGACCCGCGTCCACGAGGCCTGCTCGCGGTACATGGAGACCCTCATCTCCAAGCTCATCTACAAGGGGTCCACCACCGTCGGCGCCGTCGAGGCCCTGCTCATCCTCGCGCAGTGGGCGCCGCAGAGACTTCAGGAGAAGCCTACCGTCGGGCGCGGCGAGGAGGACGAGGGCGCGTGGATGCAGATCGGCGTCGCGATACGGCTGGGGTACCTGCAGAGTCTGGAGCAGACAGGGCTGTTGTCGGATAAGACGAGCCCGTCGTCGGAAACGTTTCGGAGGAAGAGGTTGGTTTGGGCTGGTAAGCCTTTCCTTGGTGAAAAGTGATAAGGCAGCCGTGCTGACGTTTGTGTCTTTGGGTCATCAGCTTGCTACATGAGTGATAGGGAAGTGTCGATCCGCGTAGGCAAGGGGTTCTGGTCCCGTGGGCCGGGACCGTCGACAGTACCACGCTCTGCGGACTTCCCATCTCTAAGAATACAGGAAGCCGGGGGAGACAACCTCGGACAGCTGTTCCAGGCTCAGCTTGAGTTGATACAGCTCTTCAGCAATGCTCATGACATACTATACTCATCATCAAGTCATAGAGCTCAGCTGTACCTAGGCGGAGAGTACGTGAGGTATATAGTAAGTCGCTCTTGACAGTCTCTCCATCATCCTCGAGTGCCATTCCTCGTCACCTTATTTGGCTAACAACCATAGGATGACTCTTTTGCAGTACTTCGTAAATGGAAGATCGTCTGGGGAAGCCTCAACTGTAAGTCGACAACCTTCTCAAGCCACCCTTGTGCCCCTGGGTTCACACCCCATGAATGAGCCCAACTAACACTCAACCTCCAGTCACGCCCTTAATAAAAGCAGGCCTCAACCTCTCCTACGAGTTCCTCCGCCTCTATATCAACGCCTTCGCCTTCCAAGCAACAATCAACCGCGCAATCACCAAAGCCCGCCAACAACAGCAGCAACAGATGCAGCATAACCAACAGCAATATCAGCAGAGCCAGCAGAGTCAACAGCAGAACATGTCCTCAAAAGATCAGAAACAGCAACACAACGGACACGAGACAACGACGGCAACCCAAGCGCCAGCAAGACACCCACCACAACCACTGCCGCAGCCACCAACGACGACTATCAGCAGCCCCCTATTCGCAGACCTCGCTAGTACGCCCGACGCCCGCTTCATTTACGAATCAATGGACGCGGCCAACTCTCTTCTAAACATCCTCAACTCCTCTGTAGATCCGGCTACCGGGTTGAGGTACATGCCACTAAAGTACTACCTCTACGTAATCTACGCGGCCGTGTTTCTCTTCAAGGTATGCCGGTCATCTCACCTTTACTCTCTCGCACATTTTGCTGATTGATACAAACAGGCCCGTCTCGCTGGCGCCCTAGGAAGCGAAGCCTCAGAAAGCGTCCGCCGCTCAATCAACGTCACAATCGAAGGCCTCCAACGCTCCTCCTTGAGCCCGCACAGCCTGGGTCAGCGCTACGCGCGCCTTCTTTCCCTGCTATGGCGTAGTAAACCAGAAGAACACCAGCAACGGAGTCAAGGACCTACCCTACAGTCCAACGTCACCATCTCCTGTCCTGACGGTCACGCGGTCGATGCCACCAACACTGGAGTACCGTGTCCGGCGTTCGGCCTCCATAATGGGGCAGGCGGCCCCGGGTCCGTGTCGGTGCACGTACCGACTGTACCGAGCTCGGCCGGTGCCGGTAACAGCAATGGATATGGAGGTCTTGGTGGACATGCCGACCATCATCAAGGGTTTGGCGGGATGTCGCATGGTCATGCGCATTCGAATATGGCTGCCTTCCCTCATCAGCCCGATCTTCTAGTCAGAGGCTTCTCATGGCGAGATCTAGATGATCTGGGGCAATTCATCGGGCCGGCGGACATGAACTTTTCTGATCCTGCCAATTTGGCGGTGATGGGCGGGTCGATTAACCTGGATGAAGGGGCAGGGTATGATGTTCTCTGGCCTGGGAATGACGTGGTCTTTTGAGCTTCTTTGACGAGCGGCAGAAGGTATCTCAACAATGAGTAAAGATTTCTGAGTGGGAACGCGTCATGGAAGTAGGTTGTAATTCTAGACGGAGACACTCACGTGTGAATGGAAAGAACAACGGTTCATGGAGTTTAAAAGTACTTAAGGTAGTGTGGCTGTATTGCATGGGTCGTCTTTGACCTAGAGGCCGTGAACGATGTTAGCAATTGAAGAACATCGCACAAAGACAAAAGTCCCAGTCACTGGCGATGGTGACGTTCGCGGTGAATGTGACATGATAATAGATATCCTACCTCATATCTCTCCCACTCAGTCCGGAAGGGCACGAGCCTTCCGGCAAAGATTAATCGAGCATGAGAGACTATGGTAGTCGGAGGTCATTACGCCAGGATGAATATAAATGCCAGTGCATCACGCTCGACTTCTTTCAGAGAGGCCAAGGTCCGGGGGAGGGCATACGTGGCCAGGCAGCTACGGCAGCTCGAAATCACCGGATCCGAAAGACAGTTTTAGAAGAAGCTCGAAACAATATACTAACGAAGAACTCAAGGCATTGCTATCATGCCAGAACAGCATTCCGCTCCGTACCAACATCCTTCATGGGTCTCTGCGTATTCAGCATAAATACGTAACAGAGTTCTGACGATGGCCATTGACAAGGGAAGGATGTGTATGCCGAGAACAGCCTTACGGCGCTCACACCTTGCACATAGCATATCCATTCCTAAATTTCTTAAGAACCTATATCCTCCATCACTTCAATCATTGACCGTCTTCATTCTCTTCTCACTCTTCTTCGGCCAATCTTCAAGATGCTTAACAATAACTACCAAAGCCAAGCACCCGACGGTATCGCATAATCATAGCATTCCGAGGTGCCTGTCACATTGGGCCCCTGACTTCGCCATTCTATACGGGTGAAAGATGCTACTTGGCAGACACATACCGGACCTGCCCAGTCAGAAACAGAGTCGAGACAACAAGTCACCTAGTGTAAAAGCCCACAGAGGGAGCGCTTATACTTTAGCTCAACCAAGTCAGGCCTTCCACAGGCTGAAGGACGCCACCACCCAATCGCCAGGTTTACCAAGAACTTCTGCAAAGTCAGGGATTTTATCCACTTAAGGCAGGACTCCCAGCTAGACCCCTTGTCCGTGGTACCCCAAGTCCTACCCTAAAGCAGTCCCTATTATTAGGGTCTCTTCCTCGCCCGCTGGATATTTCTCTCGAATAAACAATGAATGAGAAACTTTGCTCACTACTGAGATAATGTTACATATGTTCCAGGCCAGACGTAAGAATTGAGACCCTTGTGTTTTCGCAAACAGTAGGCTGGCTGCCTATAGTATCAAACCCACCTACCGAGATTGCATTGGCCTGCTCCCGGAAAAATGAAGTCCTCGTCAAATGCTTCTTTATATACCTATCCTCTCACCGTAACGGAAACTGGGCCAGTCCCTCAGAGATCAACATCAACAGTCCCTCCAGGCGCCATCAAACATAAACCCCTCAACCGCAGTCCAAATCAGAGGCTTCTCACAAATGACCTCAAACGTCATAAAAAAAAAACGAACGCTGCGTAAAGCCAACCACTCGAATATCCCAAAATCGAATCGACAGTCTCCACAACCTGCATCCAGCTCGTCACCACACGTCCCGCCGGCATCTCTCCACACCCATGCCCAATCCCCGCCCCCTCCGGGCCCCACAGCCCCGGACCCCGCAACCACCCGCCCCGAAACAAACTCGCACCCCGGTCCCTCCGCCCCGAGAATCTCACCCCCAAACCCCCCCCCCCCCGTCCGTATCCCGTCGTTCACCCTCCGGATCGAACGACGTTACCAAAGTAAACGGTTTTCAATGCCGACGAGGAACCAAGAATAGAAACATCCAACGAAAAAAAACGGGCCACCTTCTAGCCCCAAGCCACGCCGGTGTCTCCGATCACCCAACTTCCCCCAAATCACCCCATCAACGCCGTATGTTTCAACCCCAACGCCACATCATAAAAGCCCTCACCTCTCACCTCCCACCTCAAATCCAGTGAAAGAAATCCCCAAACAAAGAGAACCCCGGCATCGCAACCGTAACGTAGACCAACGTCCGCCTGCCGCCGTCTTTTTCCAAAAGTCGAGACCGTTTCCCCAAGGTACGATTTGGAACGGTCACCATCTATCTATACGTCCCATCATCTCAAACCACCAACCCCCTTCCATCCTTGCCCCACAACCACCACTCCAAGCCACACAGACGGAACCCCTCCGTCCACGCCCACGTCGCACCGCCAGACGGTCCTCGCCTGACAAGGAACCCTCACAACCCTTCTAGAACACAACATCTACAAGTCTGGGAACGCCACTCCCTCGACGGCCTTTGAAGTGAATAGTCTCAGTATGACAACAAGCCCTTCCAAATCAAGGAGGGACTTACCCAACACAGAAATACGACTATCGCAAATCACTGTTAAAGCGGTTCATCTTCATAATAAGACGGGTATTTGATATTTGATTTTGAATAGCATCGAGGCGCGAAGAGAAACCTGAATGAAAGGCACAAATAATGCCCGAGTCTTTGAAAAGAAGAAGTAGACTATGGCAAGTCAGACGCGTCTGAAAAAGTTATACAGTAGTGAAGCGAATCGGAGAGAAGAAAAAGATGAAGAGAAATTGGTTTCCCAGCTGATATATACAAAACACCGTCGCTATCCCCATAAAAAGTAGATAAAATGTTTGAGCCATCCGTCTCTAAGTATTTTTTGGGTTCAGTTCATCAGCTCAAATCTAAAAAAAAAAAAAAAAAAAAAAAAAAGGTCACTGAATAGACTGGGACATTGACTGTCCCAGAGCTGAGAGTGAGAGCCCTGACATCTCATGCTCCCTCCCAGCCCTCATGCGAGTGCGAAATACTCGCCTTGAACATAATAAAGAAAAAGGGGAAACCAATGGGAAGTACCCAACAACCAAGAAGCAAGTCATCATGGGCATGCCAGGTTGTCATATACGCCCACTGTCCGTCCGCCAACCAACCGTGCGTCCGTCCCACCTACTCGTACAACCAGGCCCCAAGTACCGTAACCGAAACCCATTTCCTTTCCCTGTGTCCCGTCGTTATTGCCAGGGGGTATCACGGAGAGAACGCCTCTCCAATATCATTAAACCTCTGCGCCTTGTACCTCTTCGCGGAAGCGCACGCCGCCGCTGACCTGGATCGCTCCCTTGACCCATTCGTTGTCTGCCACCTTCTCTAGTACCCACCGGCTCCTTGCGCGTTGCAACAGGCCCTCAGTAATCTCCATTGCACCGAGGAGACCGCGCTCCTTAAACTTGGCTTCGTCGCCTTCGTGATCGCCATCCTGGCCGGCATAGTCGATCCAGCGCCACTCCGCACGTGCTATGCGGTGACTGGTGCGACTGCGCATGCGGTGGCCGTCCATCGTGTTTGGGTAAGGATCGAAAGGCAAGCGAGCTTCGAGAAGTGCGTAGAGCAAGACACCCAGAGACCACGCATCGGTGGCGCGGCCATCGTAGGGCAGACCCATGATAACCTCGGGAGCGGCATAATCCTCCGAGCCACATCTCGTCTCGAGTTTCTCGTCGTCGGTGATGCGGCGGGAAAGACCGAGATCGGTGAGGGTGATGACCGAGTGCGGGTATGTCGTCCAGTCAATTGAGGGGTCTGCGAGCTCAGGTGCCGTCAAGTTCACGAGTACATCTGGGAGTAGTCAGCAAAGGGTAGCTCTCCATTACCAAGAGAAATACCCACTCTCGAGCTTGATATCCCTGTGGACGATCCTGCGCTCATGCAGGTACCGTACAGCGCCCACCAACTCGGCAAACATCCTTCGCAACAAGGCTGGTTTGAGGAGTTGGCGATGGCCTGTAGCCACGTCGAACAGATCGCCCCCAGGGCAATGGCTAAGGACCAAGATGGCGCGGCTTGGCTCAATGTTCCACGCCTTGAGGTGGACCAGGGAAGGATGGCTGATGGTCTGCATGATCTCGAGTTCACGCTTCAGTGACATTTCGATTCTCTCCTCGCTCGCTCCTCCTCGAGGGCCGTGTTCGCAGACCTTGACTGCAACAAGAGTCTTTCTGAATGATGGCGACATTTTGGATATCGGGGTGAGGCTGTTATCGCTTCGCAGTGATTCGCTTCCGTCATCCATCTGGCTCGTTGCCAGCATCACTCGACTGAACGTTCCCTGGCCTAGCGTCTTGATTGCCCTCCATCTTCTCTTCTTTCGGTCGCGGCCGTAGGCTTCAAAGTACTCGGGTATCGCGGGTTTCGGTTTGCCGATCGCCATTTCGGTCGAGTCTCTTGATGATTCGCTCGGTGGCGGGGTCGGTGGTTGCGCAATCGCCGGTGTCAGGCCTCTTGATTCTGCAAGATTGGCCTCCCGGCGCATGTGCGGCTCGAGGCCAGAGTCGGGGCCGTTTGTCGGCTTCGTGTGGGAGCCCGAGACGGTGATGTGTCGCTTGGGAACGTAATTGGGGTCCGGGATGTACTCGCTGATGCTTCGGTTCCGCGCGTGTTCGGCCTTGCCATTCACTGGCCCCTTTGCGCCCGCACCGTCAGAGCCCTCGGCCACCAGGCCAGCATAGACTTTGCGTTTCGAGGCGTTGGCCAAGGCTACCGCTATTGATTCGCCGGTAGACGTGACGAGGACGGAGTCCGGGGCTGGGTTCTGCATTTGATCCCTTGAAGGCGGTCGCACCCCAAGACGTCTCCAAGGGCCGGGCGAGTCTCCAGATAACAAAGGTGAAGGCAGCGGGGTGACGTCGCTCATAGCCGAGAGAATGGGACTGGGCATGCACGAGCTTGTAGCCGAGGCGGGACCCAGGCTGTTGGCGATGGCAGCTTTGAAGCTTGGGGTACGGGATATGGGTTTGAGATTGGAGGACGAGGTTTTATGTTGGAGGGCGTTACTCGGGCGGCGCGGGGTCGAAAGGGCGTCGTTTGAGTGAATGTCGGTTCGTGTGGGGAGGTTGGGATGAAAG